CTCGACCTGATAACAACATCTCAGGCTAATACAGAATATCTCACAACCTCAACTCACAACTCTTCATAAACAACATACTTTTGGTTTATATTTACATCAAACCCAGTAAAACAATAATATAAACCACACATAAAACCTTTACTCTAAAACGTCAACCAAAACAAATGAGAAGCGCCTGGCGTCCCTTTCCATCTTGCTAATATCACGTTTTAGACTACGCTTGACGTAAGATCGCTCGCCTATAGTGACACTGTTCCCTGTAGCTAAGATTCGTATAGTAAAGTTAAATTAACATTGAATTAATATTGATGGTAAATTAGACATCTTTCAACGAGAGAGAGAGAGAGAGTAATCCGCCATAATACCCGCGAAAACTTTCTTGTAAAAAATGAAGGGCAAAGTCATGCAATTTCGGCACATTAAGGAGAGACTTTGTTGACTTGAGTTGAAGGTTAATATTGAGCCTCCAGTCTTATATGTTCCCTCGGAGGACTGCATGATGAGGACGTGGCGTGTGCATGACTCTGGGTATATATATTCTGACTTTCTCTGCATGACTCTGGGTATAATTCTGTGTGACTGCAGGTATAACCTCTCTCTCTGTGTGCATGACTGAGGGTGTCTGTGTGTGTGTGTGTGCATGGTTGCTCTCCCCTGCGTCTCTCTAATATACAGTACATACATGACTCAGAAATACAGACATACACATACAAGAGAGGTACTGAGTATGTAACAATGAAGGTACAGTAATTCTCTTCAAGTTATTAAAGAAAGTGGTATGAAAGTGGCTAATTCTAATTCACATACATAATTCTACAATAGCTAAAATAACCTAGAATAAGCGCTTTTAATACCACGCATAGTTATTGAAGTGTAGTAATACATTCTAGCATCAACTTTCTTAACCAATGTCGAGTTTTTCGCCATTTTCACATACAAGAAATTCCAAGCACAACACACACACACTACATCATTAACCCCCCCCCCAAAAAAAAAGTACCTCGGGCGGGGCAAAGTGGGGCAGGGCAGGGCAGGGCAGGGCAGGGTGGGGTGAAGTGAGGTGAGGCAAGAAAGCCTCGTGTGCAGTAAACTCCACACACGCCACATTTGACAGTCGCCTTTATTCACACAGTTTTATTAAAAGTTTGAGTTTGTAGGAAAATTGCTTTCATTTTATACAGCAAATAGATGTACTAGAAAAATATAGTTCCTTACCCGTGTGTGTGTGTGGAGTTTGGCTGTGTGTGTGAAACTTAAAGCAGCAATGTGTAAATGCATTCCTTATTAGTTCTAAACATTATTCATCTTCCATTTATTCACCAGCCAGGAATACATTTTTATTTTATTTTAGCTGCGTTAGTCTGCTTAATGCCCGCTAAACCTGACTAGGCCAATTGCAAGAAGCACTTGATGAAAAAAAAAAAAAAAATATTATATATATATATATTATATATATATATATATATATATATATATATATATATATATATATATATATATATATATATATATATATATATATATATATATATATATATATATATCTATCTACGATTCGTTATTGGAACGTGGTACTCTTAACTGACGGACTGAAAGACATTTCTCCCGCGCCACATCAACACCTCCTGCCAGACGTACGATCACCCTCCACTAACACACCTATGACCTGTGTTTATCTACCCTTGTTTACCATTGTCTCCTCCATCGTGTAAAGTTGTAAACTAAACAGAATACCGAATTGTATATATCAGAAGAACACATAAGATAATATTAATGTTAAGCTTAAAATGAAATCAGGTTTTATGAGGACAATTAACGATAGCGGCAGCAAGGTGTAGAGAGGAAATACATAATACGCTTATACTTTAATTAATGGAATCGTGAATATATATATATATATATATATATATATATATATATATATATATATATATATATATATATATATATATATATATATATATTATGATCAGAATAAATATGTAAAATATAAATTAATCTTTGATCGTAAGTTAGAAAGAGAATTGTGATAATAAGGGTGAAAATTGATCCCATTGGTATGGCGAAAACTTTTGCGGGGGAACACTTCAGCTGGTGAACATTTAATCTAACGAACCTTTAAACTGACGAACACTTAAATTGGCGAACAGTTTAGCTGGCGAACATCTCAGGTGAGTCTCATTAGGACTTGTGAGTTGTGATTTCTAGTTGTGAGTAATATCTTCTGTCCCTCCTTCAGGTAAGGTAGTAGGTCCTCCAGCGTGTGAGAGAATATCAGGGAAATGGTCAGAATGCTCTCAGCCGAAATGTGGAGCGGGTGTGTCTGTACGCTGGACAACAGATAACTCAGAGTGTCATCCCATGAACCAGACGCGCCTATGTCAGCTACGCCCGTGCCAGGATCGTCAGCAACAACAGTCGTTAGCCTACATCCCCCACAAGTTCTCCAGGAAGCATCACATTAGGGTAAGGTCAAGGAAGTACTGAGTGGGTGATTAATTTGTTTTCGTGTTTTGGGGTTGGTTGTCATGGTGATGATATTTGAGAAAAATAGACTTCAGATATACATTATATGCAATACAGTACTCCATTACAGTACCTCGTGGTTCCTGTACGAGTTAATAATTTAATAGATAGTTAATGTATAAAAGTCTGGCTATAGACTACTCCATTCACCTTTATTTTTAATTTAGATTTGCCTGCAGGACTAATAAAGACTTCTACAAGTAGCCTTGAATATACATAGGTTTTATATATATATATATATATATATATATATATATATATATATATATATATATATATATATATATATATATACTCACCCTATATGCGTATATATCAAAATACAATGTTCATATACCTCCTCGACGCCATGGAGTAAGAGTTTGTCCTTCTGTTTACTTGCAGCGAGGCCACACGTGCAAGGCAACACAGAGACAGGTGAAGTCAGTGCGTCTCCGTGCTGGCTGGTGCGTGAGTGAACATCGTTACAGACCAAAGCAGTGCGGTGCGTGTACTGACCGCTGCTGTACCGTCCACTCCTCTACCACCATCTCCGTCGCCTTCCTCTGTCCTCTCCACTACACCAATGACCTCTCCGCTCCTCGCCCTCGCTACCACATCCTCTCCAGACTCCTTCGCACACGCTCCCTCGCCCACACCACAACCACCACAACAACTACCACCACCCGCGTCCCAGATGTGTATGATATGATGGATGAAGGTCAACCTATTATGGATGCCGCCCTCAGCTACCACCAAAGACCACAAGAGGACAAACACCTCCACGACCCAGACAGTAACTACTACAAATACGACCATATTGGCAGCAAGAACGACCACAGCGACGAGCTCCAGTTACCACACGACAACTTGATGGTGGAAGACGACCTGGAGTACGACCGTATCAAGAGCGATAATTACGAGGTGGTGCATCATCAGGTGGAGTGGATCATGAGGTGTAAGTGTAGCCACTCCTGTGATCACCAGCAGGTCCCTCAAGCCTCAACAGTGGCGACAGGACCCCCGACGTAACACTTAGGTCACTGACACAACACCTTGGAAGAAACAATCGACGGGAACAGCTACTTTACTCTTGATCAACATCCAAGGAAGACTCCGAAAAGAATCACCGGAACGTCCAGGTAGTAATTAACTACACCTGGGGGAGGAAGACGAGGGCAGCTGCCGTCTCGTCCAGGGAAGCGCCCCACCGCCACCACCACCGCCACCACAGCTGCCCAAGACGTCGTAACTGACCATCCATCAATACATATCTCTTTATATAGTTTATTATCCACCACCACCAGCCTCACCAGCGCCCTCTGTGATAGCTGGCAAGTAATCAGTGAGACCAGGAGCGAGGCAGCATAGCAAGGTCTGGTAACACGCACACACTTAAGTATTTTGAGTTTGTGAGTCGTGTAGACAGTGAGTGGAGGAGGTGGTGTGAGGGACAGGTAGGAAGAAGCTGAGGAAGACTGTCTGTGGCGGGACTCAGTCAGTCACTCGAGACTTCATTACTCAGGAACAGCTTCACCATCAAGAGTTGTAAACCTCCCACCTCTGTCGTGAGTTGTGAGGGACTGATGGTGTCTCAAGCTGTGAGGAGGTGAGGCTGAGTAGCTTAGGGTTATGTAGTTCAACTGTACACACACACACATGCACACGTATCTTATAGTATCTATACATATACATATATTTCATGTCTGTATGTATGTACATATCTGTAATATTTACCCATTTACTCGGTACAGTAGAGGATTAAGGAGATAATATTATAGCGTGGTGGGTCACTCAGTACCAACAAGAGTAAGGAACTACCAGACAACAGAATAACCAAATATATGAGCAAAAATAACACTTCACCAAGTGCAATTGTTGGGTCCGGCGCGCGGCCTGCTGCTGCCGCCCACACACCTCACACACGCCTTGTAGCGACTGTTAATTCAGATATTTTGAAGCAGAATGTTTACCAGAATCCATTTGTCGCATATGAAAAATGCTAATCTTTATCCTTATAGCTTATACATCAGTTTTTTCCTTACTTCGTAACTTATACAAAAATGCTTCAAAATAACGAAATAACACTTTTAATTATCACCTGCCAGGTCCAGCCAATGTTTACTTCACCTTAATATTAATGCACCGACGTAAATTTATGCTCGCGAGAACTTAGAGAGAATAAGTTTATACTCGCGGAAACTTTTGTTGGGAATAGGTTTAAACTTCATAGAGAATAATTTTACGCTCGCGTTCACTTCGTGGAAATGTTAAGTTATGCCCGCAGGAACATCGTAGATAATTAGTTTGTGTTCGTGGTAGTATGGCAAGAATAAGCATGTGAACCCCCCGCTGCTGCTCCATCACCCTAAACGGCTATTGTTAAAGAAAGAACACGGACAGGAACATGCTGTTGACACAACCAAGACTAACCAAAACAACACATCGTGCTCAAAAGGTTAAATCATCGTTCTTAAATAGTTAAATCTTCTTCATCAAAAGGTTCAGTTTTTGAACTGATATAGTGGAAAGAATTATCAGTGTAGAGAGGTAAACAGTGTACTGTATGTACCTCAGTATCGGGCAGGAGGGCGACATGAATAACTACACATCACTCGAATGAAAGAAATAATAATAATAATAAAAATAATACGAATATTAGTAATAATAATACCTTTAGTAATAGAGGCAGCAATAATTACAAGTTTATTGACTGAAAACCATAAAATCCAAATCTTAAGCAATTGGGCCAGAGTGTTTGGGCAGGCTCCTACACCACCCACCTTTCTCTATATCATTGTACTGTGTTCCTGGCCTGACCGAGTGTACTGTACATAGTAAAAGTGACACCGACATATATATCTATATCTATGTATACTATTATTTAAATATAGGATGACAGAGTGCAATAATGTCATAGGTGTTGCCATATATTCGTAAATTTATAGTATATCCAAAATTGTGGTGGCTGTTTTATTGGTAAGCAAGACGTCTTCATCTGGTTGTTTATTTTATGGTGGGTTTGTTTCTTAGCGGTTTTTTCTTCTTTTTCTTAACATTCCATACGACCAGTGTTGAACTCTAGTGAATTTTGCATCCATATAAAGTTTCACCATTTTGACTTTTGTCTCATTTAGTGTAAAAAAAAGTCGAATATTAATTATCAGAAACTTTGTCAAATATGAATTAAGGGTTTCCGTATGTATACTGCCATTGTGTTGTTCAATGATGTGCCAGGGAGATTCTGATGTTCTATGGTGATACGGAGATCCTTGTGACTGGGGTAAAAGCTTTCTGGAATGCCTTCAAAGCATTTTTCCTCCTTGGGGAACTTTTAGAAGCCAAATTTTTGTGTATGACTATGCATTTGACAACTAGGAGAGGCTGCTGTCATGTGTAAACCAGACGATAATGAAACATTTTTTTCATTATCTAAAACTTATGTCTAAATTATTTGTCATTATATAATTACCAACATGTTAAACTGTCGATTGAACTCGGCCAGATATTAATTATAGTACTGTAGTTAATTTACCACTTTTTAACAGCGGTATATATCTGTCTCTTTGATTATAATAATTCAAACATCAACTAGGCTGCTGTATAGAAACTAATTAAACTTCATTCCATGTACCCTGATTTTCCAATACTGTTGGTTCAGACTCTGAGTATCACACACGTAAACATAGTGAGGAAGTCTGGGAATAGAATTTACTTTGTTGATATAATGTTTCAAGAGTGAAGCCTCAAGACTGTGGACCACCACTAAAACTTGGCTGTGCTGTTTACCCGGGGTATCTGCTTGCCTGGCCAGTTTATTGTTGTGGCTCCTTCCTCTTGAGTTGTTTATCACTTCACCAGTCATATTCACGTTATTAAACCATGCAAATAACCTGGTCATCTGAAGAACATTATAACAATTATTACATCAACTAAATTCACATCACTGAACCATGCAATTGACCTGAGTAGATGAACATAAAAAATTACATGACAACGCTTCCTATTTTATTTTTGTTAGTTAAATCAAAACTTCATTCTAGGTTTGTTCCGTAAACTGAAAAAATGATTCTAACTTCTAGAGAAAGAAATCATTTCTGCCGATTCCTTATGCAACGTTTTTTTCAAGCAAGAGAATTTTCCACCTCACTAATAGAAAAACTTTTGTTGGACAGAGACATATTAACTCTCTTGCATTGGGGGGAAAGTAATCAAAATTCTATATTAAGGTGATCGTCTCATTCTTCCAGTTCGAACAAAATTAGACACTTTATAGACGATAATAAAATGATTTAGCCTTTGATGAGATAAACTTCATAATAATAATAATAACTTCAATGGTCTATGTATAATCAAGAGAATTACTCATTATTAATTCACTTAATTATGTACAGTGACTTTTTATGTCTTTAACCTCTACCACAACAGGTAACACTATGGCAGTCCTGACTAAAGTTATTTATAATGACAAAAAAAAATTATATACTGACCGCTATACAGTATATCAGGCGTCAACATTTCTCAACTGTGATTTAAAACGAGATGACTGGTCTCTAGAGTTGTAATCAAATTAGTAATATGAACCAAGGTAAAACTGTTTTTGTAAAATGAATCGAAATTTAATGGTTAGATTTGCACAATAGAAAAATGTTAATCCATTGAAATTTTAATCTTCGGTTATCGCAGTAATGTCACGTCCGCGTTGATAGTTACAGATGATATTGTTATTATTATTATTATTATTATTATTATTATTATTATTATTATCATTATCATTATTTTATTATTATTATTATCCCTTAGCCTAAAGCAACATCAATGTATACAAGAAGCATCACAAACATTATATAAATTTCTCATTATTAGTACTCAAGCAGAGTAGGAGAGGAAGTTACCAGAGGGGAGAGATGCACGCAAGTAGTTAAGTACACTTTACACTGATATAAGTAAAACTTAAGATCACTATTAATTACTTTAGGGAAATGGCTGTACTGTAGTGACCAGCACAGGAATGTAATACACGGTGCCTAAAATGTACTGCACGCTCTCACTTATATTGTAACATTGAATTCGACGTTTAGAGAATTGTTGTGTTTCGTCTTCAACCTAAAAAATAAATCATGAGTTTATAAAGGACAATTTATAAGAAAAAATAAATAAACTATTTAATAAAACTTGGTGTCTATTAATGTATCCTTCCTTCATTAATGAGAAAGACAAATAACTAGATTTATTTAAAGAGAGATATTCAAATATGGTTGAACAAAAGCCTAATGGCCTTAAAGTATTTCCACAGAAGTTAATTGAAATGGTTCTATTATAGCCAGTGTTATATGAAAGAGTTTGCAAATGTTGTGTATCAGAAACTATATAAACAGAATTATGTTACAGAATTATTTAACCAGATACAATTATCTTTATATTTATTTCATGACTAAAATATATCCTAACCTAAAATACATTATAACGTCAACTTCAACATCAGAATTATTTTACCTAATGTTGTATTAAATATTTTATAGAGGGCAGTGTTGTATCAAAGCCTTATCTAGACAGTGTTGAATTGAGTGAAGATTTATTCCGGCCAGTGTTGAATTAAGAATTTATATAACCAGTGTTGTATTAAAATCCTTACCTGTCCATTGCTGTATTACTGATGCCGTCCTAATAGGCCCTAGCAACAGATCCGAGTGATGGAGCTGTGCTAATGTCCACAATGACCTTAAACAAGAGTAACATGCTAAACAAACACTAGCCACAGACAATATCTATAGCGCTTGTCCACATACACCATTCCTTCTAGGGAAGATCTGGCAAAAAATTCTGCGATAAACGAATTAATTATTATCCAAGGATGTTTCTATAATGATTAGGTAATTAGTTAGCTTAATGTACGAGTATTGCCTAAATCGGTTTTAATATGACGAGTACGTCAATTTTTGCTATAATTATAACAACAAAAATATTAATCCATATTTAGCTACTGTTAAGGTAGAAACATAGTGAATAAATATAGGAAGTTAAAAGCATTTTTTTTTCTACTGCCGGAAGTCATTTTGATAAAGTTTTAATTAATTGAAAGTTTAGTATAAAGGCTTACTGAGACGGGTGCAGATTCTGTAAAAATCTTAAGTCTTCCTTTTTTTATCTTCTTCGCTGGTTCATTTAATCCCGTTAATTGTGGATGCAAGAAGGCACGGGCGCAATAGAGACTTCGCGTCATTTTAAAAGTCATACAGTATTTGTCTCTTACAGTTATGGTAGCTGTTTGTATTCACTTTCTATTATAGTTAGCAAAAGAGAAACATTGCACAAACCTTTGAAAATCGGGTCATCGAGTCTCGGACAGTCTAAGATGTTGTACTTTATTAACGTTAACTCAACAGTACAATACAAGGTCTGTTTCTACACCAGACAACTCCTATGCATAAGCAGTTGAGAAGATACGTTATTCGGATTTAGTGTGTATATTTCCCGACAAGATATTGCCAGGACTTAATCCTCCACACCAGTAGCTTTGATGGTGGTGACGGGAGGGAGGGGGAAGACTATTGTATTGTATATATACAGAGGATATATATATATATATATATATATATATATATATATATATATATATATATATATATATATATATATATATATATATATATATATATATATATATATATATGTGTGTGTGTGTGTGTGTGGGTGTGTGTGTGTGTGTGAAAAGGCTTATGAAAAATCTTCTAGACAGTGAATATTCTTAAGGACAGTGTCGGAAAATTTGATTCAGTTTATCAACATTTCGCAACAGAGTAGTATGAGAACGCGGTGGTTGGAGCATGAGCACGAATATTTACATATACTGCTGAACACATGGGAGTTTGGTGAAGGAGAGACTGTACGGTGGCCTCATCAAATATTTTTACTTTATCCTCTTCGTCACTGATCGAATCTGCTCGTCAGGCACCTAAGCAGTCGGTCACGTCTCTGTTACACACTGTTGGCAAGTACCTGAAACTCTGTACTGGACATTTACTGACTCCAGAATGTATCTCATCTGTACCTGCGCCTGTGTTGGTCAAGTCTGGTCTTCAGTGAGGTCACTCGGTGCTGTCACAACGGTTTTTGACAATTTTCAGAACTTGTGTCTTAATTCTTCAGCCTGGGGCGGGCATCCACCAGATCCAGGTATGAACACTCGACTAAATAATGTCCTCGGAGAAGTTTATAGACTTTTGTTGAAGCGCCAGTGTACTTAACAAAATATATAAAAGATAAAGAAGTCTTACCTGTAAAGTAAGTTTTCGTGATACATAAAAGAAGATGTAGGAATTGTATGGGGGACTGCAGCATCATGGCCGTCTAGTTTTGATGTATATATGTGAAGACTTTGATATCAAAATGGACCAAATACCTCTCCATAACGCAATTTTCTTAATACCCCAGACTAATTATCAAAAATTAACGTTTTATTTTTATTACAAGATCTAATATATAGTAACTCAATCACCCAATCAGAGTGCATATACCTCTTACCTACAGACATGACAACAGTAATAAAAAAAAACAGTTCATTAATGAGGCACTCTAATTAGTCTACCATAATTAGGCACTATTACACCTGTTGTCTAGGTTTAGTATGACAACAGTTTATTACACCCAAATACTTGACTGTACCTTAGTTGTCACCCCTGAGTGTTGTGTTGGCAGCAGTGACATGTTGTTTATTTCACAGTTTATTCCCAACCAACGGTGAAGAAACCTTATTAAGGATTTTTATTAACAGATCCAGATAACCATTTAACGCTCACCATACCTCTCCGATGGGATAAAATATTTGGTAATTCTCAAATAGTGGAAAATGATCGTAAAATAAGAGAAAAATGGAAGAGAAGCAAGAGTATGAGGAAACCAAGACCCGCGGTGAAGGTAATAATAGTAATAATAAACTCAAACAAGAAGCAGAGGTGAGGGATGAAGTGTCTGATAATGTTCTCCATCAATCTGACAATGAGAGAGAAGATGATGAGGAGACCAGAATCACCACCACAACAAGAGAAGGAGGACAGGAATTGGTGGAGGCAGTACTGGATGTGGTGGAAACGTCATGGGTAATGGAGGAGACCAACACCACTACTACTACAGGAGCCCCAGTGGAGGTGGAGGTAGAGATAGATGACACAACAGGAGAGGAACATGCCAACCAAGACTATGTTGTGGATCTAGCTCATCATTTTGACCGAGTCTTTGCCCACACTACCTTCAACAGCTTTAAAGGTTGACTGGAGTTGATTTAGTAAAGTATTATTTATACAGTACATTCATACATATATATATATATATATACATTTACGGTGGATAACAATTATAAAGTAGTATTTATTTAGTCACAAGTTATACATTCAATCATACATATATAGTACAGTACTACGTTTGTGGACGAAATAATATTGACATGACTGAGTTTAGTAATATTTGATAACTAATGTAAAGTGTAGGGAAGAGCTACCACCTTATTACTTAAGGACTTTAACCGGATATTCTCAGATATCTTTAATACATAGAACAAATCTCATGTTAGCGAAAGGGAAAATAATACCGTAGTGTTAAAATAGGAAAGATTTAGTAATGTTTAAGGATAAGGGACCGGGTTAACCAGCTACCTAACGAAAAATATCTGTAAAAGAAAAGTTTTTTCTTACCTTGAGAATAAAATAAATTAGGTGTAGGACTAACCAGTCCTTTTCCATATATATATATATATATATATATATATATATATATATATATATACATATATATATATATACATATCTACAATTTACACAGGAACCACTTTATCTTCCACCATTTTTATAATACTCTGCAGCACATGCACACCTGAACCACTTACTGGTAGTTGCAACAATTATTACAGGCAAAACAACTTATTCCATACCTTGAGGAAATCAATATTAATAATAATGTATTGCAATTTCATAATTTTTTTTTTCAAAATTTTTCCTATAAATAACACTGTAGACTTAGAACTGTGATGTTCACTTGATGCTATCACTGTAAGACAGGTGGGGAGAAGGGTAGAAAACCAAGTAGAAATATCTGTAGTACTCTTGACCAGTTGCTTAATATACAAAGATCAAGAGAAAAAACTCAGTTAAAGTAGAATGTTATCTTAGACTTGGTTGTGAGTTAAAGAGCTAGGTTAGGTTTAACCAAGTCAGCACATTTACTGTGCATATATACAGTATTAACAAAAATGTTGGTAGCCCAGTAATATCTTGTTGAAATAAATTAGATGAAAAGATTTATAATTCAGAACACACCTAATACAGTACAGTACTGCATGTAGATCACTGAATTACTGATTACCATTGTGGTAAAATTTTGCAGTTGTGCAGTTGGGAACATGTTAATTAGTAATGTAATTGCTGTTAATGTCTATATTAATTGTCCATTTGGATATGGTAGTAATTACATATTTTTCTGACAGAATTTGAAGATTTATTCAACCAGTTCAAGAAGGAGACGGGATCAGTGTTCCGCATCAAGTCATCGTGCAGTGTTGTCTATGAGAACTCCCGCAGAAAGAAGCATTTCATTCCTGCTCGGTTCAAGTTTGTGTCTGTAAAGTACTGCTGTGTGCACTATGGCCAACCCAAGATAGCTGGCCAAGGTATTCGCACCAAACAAAGGTACAGTATACAAATAATAATGTACAGTATTGTAAATGCATCCAAACAGTACTTATGGAATTATACAAGTATACTTTGAAGTGAAAAGTTGTGGGTGACACTGTGCAATATATCGGCATGTTTGGATATCCTGGCTAAACAATTTCCTGTAATTCACCCTTGCTGCCTAGATCATGTACAGTACAGGTACTCCTTGACTTATGACCACCCGGACATACAACCGCCCAAGTCGTACCAAAAAATTTTCAAATTACGTATTTTCGAGTCCTGACGTTAGTGATTGCGCTGTGTACTGACAAAATTTTCTTTTGTAATTCACTTTAAAATGGCTGGCAAGCTTAAAAGTGAGAGTTTTGTGGTGCTGAGAAGAAAAAGAGACACCAATTTTAGATTTTCTATGTGTTATTTTTGCATTTTCGACTTACGACCTGGATTTGGGTCCCCAACCCTGTCGTAAGTCGGGGACTGCCTGTATATAAAAAATACTGTATAGTTTGGTTCTCGGATATGGGTACTACTGTACTGTATACAGTATATGAATCTATTTTCTAAATGCAACACAGAGAGACAAAATTTCTTTTATTAAAATTTTTTAAAATTCTACTTTATTCCTTTCATTTTCTTTCACAGGTTTTTCTTGTCTAAAAAACTAAACAACATATTGAGTTATTTGTACTTACAAGCTTAAGTACAATATAAAAGTTCTCCATCATATTACACCAATGAATAAAACACTTTTTTTAACAGTTCAGGACAATATATCTAATACCTACCATTTATGTCTCAATAATTGTACTCCAAATTTGATAAAAAACCAAGTAAATAAGCAGATACTGTAATATGGTAAATACCGTATGGATTTAATATTATTTTCTGAAGACAATGAAAAAAGCTCAGTGATAGGTTTCTTGGGTGTGCGGCGATGAATAAAAACCAAACAACTTTTCTTTACATGTCCCTAAGTCTATCATATGAAGAAAAAAAAAGAGAAATAAAAAGACTTGTTCATTTACTCTTTTAGCAATGTTAGTTGGGGGACTGGCTGGCATATTGGTTGAAGATATCTGAACATTGATGCTAAATTGTGTTTGATCTTACAGATACCTTCCCTGTGGATGTGAGTGTGTGTTGTCACTCTCCTACAACAGAGGAGCTCTTGTTATATCTCAAGCAAATATGCAGCACAACCACGAGGTGAGCAATGAAATGGCTCCATACTACGCCATCAACAGGCGCATCAGTAACTCTGAGCTGAGGCAGGTGACCGATGTCATAGAGTTGATATCAAGCAGTCGTGAATTACAGCAATTCTTACAAGAGCACTTCAACAGACCCATCACGCTTCAGGATGCAAAGAACATACGAGCAAGACTGAAGGCACTGCAAATGAATCAGATGACAAATTCTGGTTCTGCTGTTAGGTCACTTAAATCAGACCCCAAAACCCAGGATGTGGAAGAGGAGGATGGCTGTGATGGAAGAGATAATAATGACATTGAAATTGTCGATGAGAAGATAGGTATGGACGATGTCAATGATGTCAGCGATGAAAATATACTTCACCCGGAACAAGAGCATCACCAGCCTCCTCACCAGCATATAGAAGGACAACAACCTCTACAGCCTAAATGGAAGGAGAAAGTTATCAATGAAGTGAATGCAAAGTTAATTGACCTGATGCACAGTTGTGAGACAAATGTGTTTTGGGAACGTATATCTGTTATTAACCAAGTAATAGAATGTTGGGAGAATGGAGATAATTTTGACGTTCATTACGCATCAGAAAATGTTTACACTAGTGAAGAACAAATTATTAAAAAGGAACCAGAACTCACTCAGAGCGGATGTTGGGGTTCAGATTTGCAGCAGAGACGAGGAGCTACACGAGGGAGGCCCAGAAAAACTCCAGCAGTGAACATATCCGAATCATTAGAAAATTCTTCAGAGTCTCATATGAATTTCATGCTTCCTGTCTTAAGTGGGTCAAATATGCAGTTTTTGCCAGCCTCCCTTAATGGTGAATCTCTAAAATTAATTCTTCCTCAAAATGAAAATAAAGTAGTACAGAGTAAACCGACTGCTATCCAAAAGAGGCGTCCTGGCAGACCTAGAAAAAACCACATAAAGTTTCCTGCAAAAAGTGAAGAAGAAATGGGTAAAATGTCCTCCGCCCAAATGCCATCAGATAATCCCAGCTCATTGACTAATTATCCCTCAACCAATAGCTCGTCAAGATCCAGTGTCGGTCATGTCAATCAACCCATCATCATGTCAGTTACCAAAGAAAATACCCCAGATATGTGTGATCAAGCCATGGAGGTTGAGATAGAGATTGATGGAGATCTGGTCAATGTAAAACATGTTAAGTTAGAGCCTTTAGAATATCATGAAGTAGATGTAGCTGATAATAGTCTCCATCAGTTAGGAGAACATTCATATGTCTAGGGTCAGTAATGTAGAGGGAGTACCTGACCAGTGCAGAAATTGTCTTGTACAGCAGTTGGGAAGACAGGAGGAGTTTGTGTTTGCTTCTGACACCAGCCACCATGTACAGTAGTGGGATGTAAATATCACCTACCTGATATCGTTATTTCATATTCATTCACATTTATCAAGCCCCCCATGATATTGTCAGTATATTTTCAAACTTTCATATATAAAAAAAAATTTCTTTCCACAGCTTTATTTTTTCTTGTGGAATTTCCACTTTGTCCTTTCTATCTCTTCCTGTTCCCGGCATCTACCCAAATGTCCAATTCTAGCAGGAACTTGCTTGCTTGATTTGTTTTACTGGCCGTCAACATCTTAGGTCATCATGGCTGTAGTCTTGTTATTTTTATATTCTCGTTCTCTTCCTTTTGTTCTTTTTCTTCTTCTAGATGGTCCACATTTGATCTTCTTCCTCACAAATATGCTGTTCTTAGTTTTCTTGTTCTTCTATTTCATTGCTTTCTTCATCTTCATGTTTCTTCTTTTCTTTGTCTATATTTCTTTGTTCTCTTGTTTCTTCTTTTCTTCTTTCTTCTATTTCTTTGTTCTTCTTTTCTTCTTTCTTAACTTTAAGGATAGCCTCCTTATAGTTCAGTTTTTCTTGTATTGCAACTTGGCTATCCTTCACTCCTCCCTCCACTTGGGGCACTCCTGGTCGGAGAAGGAATGAGGACCGCTGCAGACTGCACACTTCTTCTGTGTTGCTTTAGATGAGGTCTGCTGGTGCTCGGTCGTTCCACATGTGGCGCAGACCTTACAAGCCTGGCATTTCGTTGGTCTTGGTATGTATGGTTTTATTGGAACGATGTCCTATCCGAGTAAAATCTCTTTGGGAAGTGCACCGAGGAAACCAACCACGGCAGAGGTGACATCCCTGTCAGATCTCGATAGTTTCCTCTGGACTGCGCATTCTATGATGAGTTCATTGGGCTTCATATGTTCTATATCGGTGTGGGAGATGACCCCCCACACACTGTGTTGTCCCAGAATTCAACAGTCAGCTTGACTGGCATGTCATTGATGCACGTAATGTCCTTCGGTTGTTTGCCCCCCCCCCCCCAAGTCACCGAAAGTAACCATAGGGCCACCACTCAGCTGATGATGACCTTCATAATCCCCCTCTATACCCGAAGAAGTAAAAAAACTTCTTCAGGATGAGGAGGTTCAGCTTCTCAGGAGGGGTTGAAGATGGAGGATATAACCTTGCGGTCTTAAGCTTTCCCCATGTGACTTTCGTGGCTGAGGTCTTGTCTTGGAATGAGCAGGAACAAACCATTGAATAGTATACAGTACTGTGCAATACAGTACTCAAATTTGGCAATACTGTACTCAGTGGTTTGTTCATGCTAACATCAGACATAGTCCAGTGATTGTTTTTCCAGTTATGCTCGTTCTATTCAATACTGTAAATTAAAACACACATACATTACTGTTTAGTGAAAATCCCAATGAAAACAGTTGCATTATTATGGGTCTTAACCTAAAAGACCTCTTGACTCAAGCTGCTTAGATGTCTGATCTTGTGATGCAGATATCTAGACAAATAATACTTGTAAGAAGGTTAGTGAATATTGTAATGAAGATCAAACAAATGGTTTCAGCAGCAGGCTTTCAAGTGAAATATACAAGTAACAGTGGAGATATTTTCCAGGGTAATTTAACCCATCCTTTTCATGCAGACTAATATTCTTGGGTTGGGAGCTTATACTGTACCTCTTTCAGTCAGTTGCCCCCTCTCACATTATCTCGCTACACATACGTCTGTTTAGTTGTACAAAACTATAAATTTGTGGTAGGTTTTCCATCACAATTTATAACTTATTGATATACAGTATGAATATGTGTGCTTTGGGCATACAATATGTACACCCTTTCATACACATGATTACAGATAACTTTTGTAAACTCGGCCAACTCTGGTAGTACTGTATAGCTATATAGTACTGCATTTCTATGGGCTGGAAATCCAGGTTACCAAGATCCCTGAAATTTTTGACTGGAGCTAATTTGAAAATTAATTGATGTTCCTGTGCAATAAATTATCAGCAATTTCTGCATTGATACACAATACAGTTTGATGTTTTATAGCCAAGTTATGTGACAAATAGAAGCCTCTTGTTAGTATAGTGACAGACTCCAAGCCCTGTGCTGTGAGTGTTAACATGTCCCACACCATTTTATTCATTCAAGGGGGAGGTTTGAGAAGGGAAGATCAACTGATTTTCATGTAACTTCCCGTCAACAGTGTGAGCAGTCCTGGTTACTGTATATCGAGTCATTTCCATGCTGTTTTGTAGAATGGGATATCAAGATTAATCCCTCATTGATAGACATTTATAAAGTAAAGCAGGTTATACTCTACTGTACTTACTAAACACTTGACAGTATAGTTTTACCTGTATACTGATGCACATTGCTGCATCCAGGTCAACTGCCAGTCCCTTGGTGTTGGTATGAAATCACTTCATCTGCCCTCAGTATTTAATTGTCCTAAGGAGCAATACAGTACAACTCAAACTCAGTCCATAAACCATCTGCTTGCTGTTTAAAATGTACATAACATTGAGAATGTTATAGTGTGCACCAGAACATAATAAGATACTTACACCAGAATGAATTATCGATACAGTGTGTCAGTGATAGATTACTGGTGTCGCTTAATCCCATGTTGTCATGTTCAATTAAGATCTGTATGTGAACAGTAGTCATTTGGCCAGGATATAATAAACTAAGATGGATGGTGTTAATATTTTTACTTTCAATATTTGTTATGCATTTATGTTTATATTGTGAAGTTCTTGTTAAATTTAAATCGGGCCATAATAGTCCATCTATAAATTGCACCATCTTTTTTTTGTGTGATGTAATTTATAGTTTAATATAAAAATATATTAAAATCTCTTAAAAAGTTTTTACTGTACTCTGATGAATATTCCTATCATATGTGTGTTGATAGATTATAATGTGTTGAGGAATTTTAGCTTGACTTATATAAGACCGGACATGCTCATGCTATGGTGCTGTACCTGTCTCCTGTGTATAAATTTTCCACTTTCAGTACAGTACTCCAGTGCCTTTTCTTAGACTCTCACAAAAGTCTACAGGGACATTGTACAGCAGTTTTCTTATGCATTTACAATTTACTCATGCAAAGGCACTACAATGGACAATTTTTTTATTGCAACTAAACTAATGGTAGACCCTGCTGCCATATGGTATCAAAAAAATTGTGACCAAGTCCCAGGTTGCTGATCTGACTTTCTGTCTCATTTACACACAATTGCAGGGCCTCAATTGTTTCTCTTACCATTGACAACACAACATACTGTACATACTATATTGTTTCTCACTCTATCTTTTTAATTTTTGTATTTCTTTATGGTTCTTTATTATTATTATTATTATTATTATTATAATTGCAGTTGTTATTATTGTTGTTATTTTATTTTAATTTTTGTATTTTTATTATAAATTTTACTTATCTGAATTATTATTATTATTATTATTATTATTATTATTATTATTATTATTATTATTATTATTATTATTATTATTTTATTATTGTTATATTTTCGCCCCCCAGGCCCTGATGTGGGTCAGTGACCTGTGCCCGGGTGAGCTAATCCCAGAAAAAAAAAACGAGTGACCAAAGTATAGACCTGTTCGGTGAGACATTCAGTGAAAGAAATATTTATAAAAAAGTAAAGTAAAATGAAGGTGCCACAATGCTATTAAGGTGCATTACGGTTTTCATTAAGCCTGTTTTTATTTTACCGCTTAGTATATTGAAGACATATCTTCGCCTATACCAAATAATTTAGATGTAACACAGTACTGTGATAGGCTACAGTGTTCTAACTGATTCTGAAAGTGTTAATAGTATGATGAATAATAAATAGATATAATTTTAGTGAGACAGTTACTAAAATTACATGAGAAGTTCTGAAAATGTAGAGATGCGGCATACATTTAAACTACTGGGGCGTGCGGGGAGGAGGGGGCACAGGGTTGGCAGGTATGGAGGCTAACAGCAGGTGAGGTGATGCAAACACTGATGACTGCTCTACGATAAACCATCACTAAGGATTTAACGTTATGCGGGTATAGGAATGGATTGTTGCAGGAGACATTGATAATACAGGATGGAGGGTTGATGAGGATATTGGAACTAATTATTTTCTTAAAACTAAAGAAAGAAACGAATTCTTTAATAATTGTCACTTTCTCATTGTTCTCAAGTTTCCTAATCCTTCTCCCTATTGCTGTAGTTTAATAAGTGTTGACGTCTTCCGAAAATATAAAATTTTGAACTTTTTTTTTAATATATTACATGAAATTGCAATGATGAAAGTTGGACCAAGTTTTTGTGTCTTATTTGATCCCAAGAAAATAACCAAACAAAACTTTAATGATTACGGTCCATTTGTATTTTTTTTAATCAACTCAAACCCACACGATGTTTAAATACAGATTTATTTACTTTAATATACTCGACTTTGAATTCAACTGGTTGGAGTCGTTTGCAATATTATATACAGTTATTAGAGATGATTTCAAAATATTTCGTAACAATAAAAACTAGATTTTCATGTATATCCCTACAAAATTTTCCCTTGAAAGTACAATTATTACTTTCATCATATTACGAAGATTTTTTTTTGATTAATTGATGATGTAACTTTAGCTTTGTAGTGAAGGAATGCCACGTATATACATTTATCTGTGACTAAATACTGATACAGCATCGGTCAAGACGGCTGTTCCATCCTGCGCCCCTACTGCTCACTACAACAACCCATCGTATATTTGGTGGTAAAGTTACGTACATTATAAAGGTTGTCTTATCAGTCAATAACTATTTTTAAGATGCTAGCTGGTATATTTACAACGTATATCAATGTATGAGTATATATGCTTTGTTATTTGATATTATTAGTAATTATTGCAAACTACTGGAGTTGAGTTTGAGTGGTTGTAGGAATAGGATACAAATTATTATTATGATTTTATGGTTAGGCTGTAGATATAGTCCAAAGGATACTGATATCAAATACATATAAATTATACAATTGATGTGTTAATATATTGAACAATAGCTATAATAGCCTTTTTTTTACCACTACAGACACCTGAGTATTCCAAGTTATCGGGAATTCCGGTGTATATCTTGGGCGTTTATATTTATTTTGCTTTTAATTTCAGTAGATTTTATTTAGCAGTATAAGCTATCAAGCATAGAAACTCATGAGTACCTTTTATTAATATACTGATATACTGTATATCCATTGACAAATTTTTTCCATTTTGTAAATGTACGATAATTATGTGTGGCTCTCGGTACTACAGCTGTTCTGGTGACTTAACTCTGCAGGCATGAAACAATAAATAACATCATTTTATTTCCCGCGATTGTGGATATATTATCAGTAATGAAGGAGTTGGATATCAGTTTTATAAGGGGATTACATATGAAGGGGGAAAATAACCAATAGAGAGCCATGGAAGGTGGGGAGGCAGAGGTAACAGCCAATGATGGTTTGTTTACGGCCCGGCGCGCTGTGAGTGGCCGCTTCTGACCAATCTGTAGTCGCCGTTATTTCGTCCAATCTCAGGTAACTTTTCATGTTTGGCGCCAATAATTATCTGCCAATCTTCACTCACCGCCCATTAGGGAACGATGGGTGATCGTGTGAAGGTGGTTCCCGCGGGCGTGAAGTGGGCGGCCTACAAACACCCACAAAAAAGACTTGAGGAGGAGAGGGAAATTTTTTAAGAAGAAATGGCCGACTGGAGAATTTTGTTCCCCTGGTCCTGTTGTATGTCTGTCTATCCTAATATTAGTGTTGGGGGATGGAGCCATGGCCAGGCCCTTGGGATCACCTGTACCAATCATCAGGTCTGGACACCTGATGTGCTTATATTTAATCTCAGGTGAAGCCAGAATCTTAATTAACTTTAGTATGTCCGGAAAAAACGTGTGATAAAATATTATAATCCATGTAATTCTTATACATTATTTTTTGGGGTTATTTTACACATTTTCTTATTAATTATCTTAAGCAATTTCTCTACTATTGATATATTGAATATGTTAATGGTTGGATGACAAAGATATAGTTCAGGTGTGGTAGAGGAGTTGTGTTGGATCTTTTGAACAAAGGAATGTTGGCATTTGAGGAGAAACATGAATGTGTGGGACAGTGACCAACTAACTCCTTTGTAAGTCTGTAGTGTGACCTGAAACTCTCCTAAATTATTGATTTTTTAGTTTATTGTCTTAATTGAGTGATAATTATACTGTATTTGAAATGACAAGGTTACTATGGATGACATTGGATGTACCAGTGTAATGTGTGACCATTGTGTACTACACTGCCAGCTCTGAGACAAAGGCATTTACAATGTATGAAGGTTAATGTGAACTAACCATAAAATTTATTGGTGGTTAATCTTGTATTTAACGAGCATAAAATAATTATTGCATCGTTCATAGTCAGTGGGTCTGGGAGCTTCATGAAATGCTATGTTACATATTTTATCTTTCTTAAAATTAACCAAACTAACCTACCTAACCGAACCTAATTGATATAACAATGTCAAGCTCAAGTTCAGGTATTTTAGTTTGTTTCACTTTATGAATGATAATTTATACGAAATGGTTGGCCATAATACTGGGGCTACCTCACCCACAGGCCGTGGGGCCAAAATATTAGTCCACAGAGTTAACGTGGTGGGCAGTTGATGTGTATATTTTGGGTATTCAGTTCATTGAATACCGGTGTACTAATGCTTTCATTATTACACACTTCTTTGTTTTTGACAGGTTAGGTTAGGTTCACCTGCCAAGAATCTGGTTATTGTAAGGCAAAATGTTGGATGAAATGTATTCTGTTCTTTAAGAATGCAATATCACAGCCACACAGACTGTTAGCTAAGAAGTCACAATAAAAGAGCCATGTAGCTGCTTCATAAATTGTATAGTGTAGCGGTACCTAATACTTCAGAACAAAGCGGAAATAAGTAAATGTCTCTCACCGGACAAATAACCACAATATTTTCTCAATAAGCTGGAGTAGCATATTTTTTTATTTTTTTATTTTTACTATTATTATTCTCTGCCACTATTTTAGGTTAAATTAGTTAGGTTGGCTCACTTTAAGAATAAATACTCCTAGACCTTGGCAAATTATTCCACCAGTTAAACCTAACCTAACCTAACCGAATGCTGTGTATAAAAAAAAAATAAATAAAAATAAAACTGCCTGTAAGAGGCATCAACAAAACATTCCAAAAGTGCTGGATGAAAACATAGGACCGATGGTGTTGGAGTTCAATTTGCTCTTCAGGAAAAAAATTCTACTATCGTTTTTACGAAAAATGTTTTTATTATAAACTTTTTGGCCTTCTCGTGAAATATGAAACCTTTATATTTATAGAGAAATGTAAAGTTCAGATTTAGGCATGAAATTGTCCTTCAGTGTTACCATGATCACCCCCCCACCAGTGCTAATTTGCTATGACACCTTTGAGTATTCAAAGTGGTGTCCCTGTAGTGAATGGGTTTTGTTGAAATGTAAATTAAATATTTGTTATACCAGATGAAATACAGAGGACTAAATTTAGTTGCTTTATCAGGTTTACCCCTTTAGTAAATTCGTTGTTTATTGGTGCATCCATCTCAGCTGACACATTATTAGGTTTTATGAAAGTTGAATGTGTTAAACTTTTTTGCCCATATTGTTGAGTATCAATTTCACCAAAGATAAAACATATTGTATTTTCAGACTGCAGTACCACCTGAGTCTGTTAAAAGATGGAAGGTGCAGAGGCAGATGATATTGGGGCTTCGTTCCTGTCTAATGAACAGTACATGGTGGAGGGTCACAGTGTTCATGGCCATCAACACGAAGACGAAGATAAAGACGACGTCCCTCACCTACTGCGGGAACAAGATCGTTTTTTACCCATAGCGAACGTTGCCCGGATAATGAAGAAGGGGATTCCGAAGACTGGCAAGGTAGGATACAACAAGGTAAGGGTTGCTGGGATGAAATTGTAGGCTATGTCTACTAAAAGGGAATTTCCTAATACTGTACAGTACTGTATTCATTTTTTTTATTCTTTTTTTATGAGTTACATAATAAGAGTAGACATTTCTGACATTAGTTTTGTTTCCTTTGAGTAGTACAGTATCTACCTACCAGTTATCCTGTCCAGTACACCTTTTTCCTGACTTGATATATAATCATCACAGACCTTAGCTACTTCAGTCATTTTCAATGTGTGCTTACATATTCCTCCTCTATCCTCACACACACATATACAGTACAGTATGTTACCTTAACTTACCTTACCGGCATCTTTTTACTATCTATATGTAATATATTCACATTACTGTAGTTTTTGAGACTGTCATTTTAGTACATGATCTGATGTTTTTATATATATATATATATATATATATATATATATATATATATATATATATATATATTAGATAAGATGACAGTCCTAACTTACTTAAGTTTAGGTTGGACCTCGCTAATCTGGGAAGCTTGGGACCAGACAGGTTCTGGATTAGCGAAAATTCCAAACCATCGAAGCCAAGGTTAAAAAGGGCAAAATAATGCATAAAATGTACTTTAGGTGCCTAATTTCTTCAGTACAGAATAGACATCTTGTCTAAAATAGTTAATGTCACTTGCTTACATTTTGCCACATTGCAATCACTTCCACTGCTTGCTGTTCTCTTAGAAGGCATATTTATGGGTAAATTGTAAGTATTTAAAGGTAAAATTTAGTGGTAACACCCACTAGAAGTGAGCTATGACACTGTCCCGAACCATCAAAGCTGACTATCGGGTCCCAGATTAGCGGGGTCCAACCTGTAGTTGGGTAACCTCCTCTTACACTCTGCCCGGCATGTCTCATATTTGGTATTTCTTCAGATGCTTTTTTTGATAGACCTAGTCAAATGTGATTCTGCTTAGTTCTGCAACCTGTTGATTAAAATTCAGACTTGGTACCTCTGCTGTTTAGAATGTGAAGTTTTCCCTTTTTGTGATATTTCATTTTTTGATCAGAAATAATGTTTGGGAACAACAAAACTCTTTAAGTTCATATTTGGAGTATTGAAGTTGAATTTAGTTTTATTTATATTGTACAGCTCCTCCCCGACTTACGACCTACTCGATTTACGACCACCCGGACATACGACCGCCTCGGTCATACCAAAAAATTTTCAAATTACGTATTTTTGAGTCCCAACGTCAGTGATTGCGCGGTGTACTGACAAAATTTTCGTTTGTAATTCACTTTAAAATGGCTGGCAAGCTTAAAAGTGAGAGTTTTGTGGTGCTGAGAAGAAAAAGAGACACCCATTTTAGATTTTCTATGTATTATTTAAGCATTTTCGACTTACGACCTGGATTTGAGTCCCTAACCCCGTCGTAAGTCGGGGAGGAGCTGTATATTGAATTTTGACAAACACTTTCTCGTTGAATCCTTTGAAATTTTCTGGTTACTTACACAATTTGGGGTTTTCAAGTTGTACAAAAATTGTTTGTCTTCTTAAAATGTTTGATAATTAAATTGGGATACAATGAATAAAACCATTTCCAATAATAAGGACCTATTGTCCATATGTACCCTCTGAGTAAGTGAGGAACCAACAGTTGTGTTCAGTCATAGATGCTATTTCCAGCCTGTTGCTTGACAGTCTTGCAACAGAGCCTTGGTGTTTATACTTGTGGAGAAGGTGATGCATGTGTGTAGTGTATGCAGGGGCTCCCGAGTTATGAACAAGTTACTTTCTTGGACTCTTCACAAGTTGATTTGTTCATAACTCACAACCTTGTTAATTTTGCAATAAGATACAAATAAAATCCATACTTACCTGTAAAATCGTAAGTTATAACCCTTAAATGTCAAATATAAGTAATTCATGTAGATAAAGTACAGAAAAAAGTGTATCCACTATCTTGACCTCTGAAGATGGCTTGCCCATACAAGGGAGGATCCGGGGAGCAGGGCCGGATTCAGGAGTGGGCAAAGTGGGCTGCTGCCCAGGGGCCTCCACATATTACAATATTTTATTTATTTGTTTATTCATTTGGATTGTTTTTATTTTCATTCTTTAAAATTCATGTTTATCTATTCCATCACATAAAACTATGTTCAGCAAGAAGCGTGATAGAAATTAGGCTAGCTACTCCTTGAAATTCATGAATATCTGGTTTTCCTATGAACCGTTTATTTTTAATATTTTTAATATACTTGTAACTGCATATGGTTTCAAAATTCTCCAAAGAAGTGTTCAAATTTCAAAATTTTCCCGGGGGCTTACAGCGCCCCCCGGAACTCCCAGATGTTTAGGCTCGCTTCACTCGCCACCCCACCCTCTTGGGTAGTTATAATGGGGGGGCCTCCACAAAGAGGCTGCCCATGGGCCTCCACAGGTCTAAATCCGGCACTGCTGGGGAGGGGGTTGGATCCTGGGGATCAGGACCCCCTTTTCATCAGAAAATTCCAATAATTTTTCTTTAATACAGCTTGTATTCGGTCACTTATGTTGAGTAAAAAGTAATTACTATTGACCTTAGAATATCTCCTAATATCAATTGCACATGGCTTCAATATGATCTCAAAATGCCCATGATATTGGTCAGATTTAAAAAAAATGGGGGGGGGCTTATAGTGCCCCCCCCACTGGATGGGTTCACTTTGTTCACCTTGTTCCCCACCCAAAACTTCTTGGAAACCCCCTCTCTTTGATATACTGTATAGGCATGCCCCGGGTTGCGGAATTTTGCTCTTACGGAATTTGTAAATTATGACCAATAATTTCGCGATACAGCCCGTAAATTCGCCTTTACGGAAATTTGAGTAAATTTTAACAATAAAAAAAAAACACTATAAAATTAAAAAAATTTGTTAAAAATTATATTTTGTTTGGTGTGGATTTCTTGGTGTTTGCTACCGCCAAGCTTGGCGTCGCTATGAGGAGTCACTCCATTGTTTACATCCAGTGTGCGTGCATGTTTCTCGCCCCAGCAGTTTGATTTAACTTTTACAAACATACAGTAAGTACAGTACAGAGCATTACCCTTATTCAAGATGACTGGAAAGAGGCCATCAAGTGGAAGTGACCGCAGCAGTGCAAAAAGAAGCCGCAAAGGCTTTACATTGGATATTAAACTGATATTTCAAGAGGATATATCATAAATTATTTAATGTACTGTATTTATATGTGTTTATAAATGTTTTTCATTCATAAAAGTGCTTGAATTACTTTTTGGGGGCCGAAAAAAATTCCTTAGGAATGCATCTCCAGTTTTATAATGGAAGTCAATGGGAAAATAGGTTTCGCATTACAGAATTCAGCGATGCGGTCAAATTTCCAGGGACGCAACCCTTCCGTAATGCGGGGGATGCCTGTATCTGGATCTGCCCCTGCCATAGGAGTTGACGATGCTAGGATCACTCCCATAACTTGGGGACCCCCTGTATACAGTAGACTAAGGGTTAACATCACTTTTTGTAAATACTATCGTTAATCTTAAAAAGAACCCGTCTTCTTTTCCAGATTGCCAAAGATGCTCGTGAATGTGTACAGGAGTGTGTTAGTGAGTTCATCAGTTTTGTAACAAGTGAAGCATCTGACCGCTGCCACCAGGTTAGTTGGTGTATGGTGGCTAATTATCTAGCTATGCTCTGCATTACATTTTAAGAGTTTCTGCTCATCATTTTGTTTAGTGTGTCGCTCTTAATCACTTCACTACAGGGACGCCACTTTTAATATTTTATTTGGCTAACAATGGATGATTATATTCAGCTCAGAGGCGACCCCATACACAAGAGGTTAAGTGAACGCAATGGTCATCCTTGTTTATATATTATCAGTACACTACAGTTTTTGGACATTATGTAAATGAGATCAGTATTTCTTAATTTTCTTAATACTTCAATAGTAAATAAGCACAGGTGGTGAAAGTAAATGCATACAGGTGAAGAGAATGTGATGAATGAGGGATTGGTGAAGAATTAATGTTGTGTGGTGGACAGTATAGTAAGAGATACAGTATATTACCAAGGTTTAAGGTTTAGATGTGTAGCATGAGCATAAATGAGCAATAACAATGAGACATTGCCGAGTGGGAAGGATTTAAGCATGAAAATTAACGGAAAGATGAAAGACTGTATGACTACTAATCAAAGTGTACAGTGTGAAGAGTTAGATTTATTCACCCCCACTTAGCAAGAGGACGATTGCATAATGTGTTAAAAGGCGTGGGAGATATTGCACAGCTGTACTTGGATGGGAATGGAGAGTAAGTTGATAGGTATTCACTTAATGTACTTTCTCATGATTACAATTAACCAACCTCATCTGGCAGGATATTTCTGTGGTCATCATACTGTAGTGTTATTTCTTACAATGCTCTTAATGTTCCTCATCTTGACAGGAGAAGAGAAAGACCATCAATGGTGAAGACATCTTGTGGGCCATGAATGCATTAGGATTTGAAAACTACGTGGAGCCACTAAAAATCTACCTCCAAAAATTCCGTGAGGTGAGTGATTGTCTCGGACCAGTAGATGAGAGGGAGTGGGTGGAACCATTGATGTTGCGGTAGTTGATTAGGCTTTCCAAATCATTTACCTGAAACCCTAAAAGAAATTGGAAGAATTTTACTGTACCCTGTACAGTGCACTAAAGATTTTTTTTTCAGTCCTATAGTTCTTTTAGAAAATTGTCTCTAGTGGAACAGTGTGGATTAAGAATTGGTTCCTTTATATTATTATTGTCCTTTTAAAAGTCTTGAATCACTATTGTTTGGCTGATTATGAATAAGGACAAAGCATTTACAGCTTGGCACACACCTATCACATCAAATACAGAGGAAGACATTCACCTTAATGCCTTCTAACCTAACCATCACAATGCTCTGTTACTATGCATTCTACTTAGTGATACTGTATGATTGACTTTACGTGACTGTTATTTCCATTCTGTGTTATTCACCTCTTCATAATCATACTTTATCATCTTCTTCATTATATTTTTTTTATCATCCCTCTTCATTATCACCTGTTTTATCATTGTTTTATTATCTCTTCATCATCACCACGTTTTATCATTCCCTTCTTCATTTCCATCTGTTTTATCATCGTGCAGTCAACCATTTATAAGACCCTAATACATGATCTTTCTTCCTTCAGTCTACCAAAGGAGACAAACCAAGTGAAGGAGCTCTGGAAGGGACCTTCGATGTGGACTATACAAATAACATGACCACCTTCTCAACAGACCACGTCAATCAGTCCGAAATTGTGTGTACATATGGTCCGGCGGGTCAGGTCACTCAGCAGTTTACTTTAGGTTGAAATTGTGTTCTTTAGTGCGTGTATGTGTGTGTGCGTGCGTGTGTGTGTGTGTGTTTTGTTTTGAATTTTTATGCAAATTGTTCGTGGGACAGAACATGGAGAAAGTGTGGAAGAACACGATCTGTTCTAAATATGCAGTTGTATAATCACGTATACCGGTAAAATAGGAGATGTTTTAAGTTTTGTTAAAGCGTACTACTGTACTTGTGTGTATGGTGTGCTGTTCTGCCCTCACATTCTAACATTGTCAGCACAAAGTGTGAGTTATGCCTTTGTTGGGAAGTAGTTGCGTATTCAATTTTATTTATTTTTTCTAAAGACAGTAGTTTTGATGATAAGCAAATGTTCCTTAAAATTTTTAATTAAAAGCTCAGGGACTTTTCTGTACTTACCTTGGCTCTGTATTATAGCTGTCATCCTCCTAAGATTTTTAAAAATAATATAATTTACATAAAAGTATATATCACTTGGTGATATTTTGTTGACTAGCTGCACTTTATCAAATTAATATGGAAAAGTTTGGCAGTGATCAGGGAATGAGTGTTGGTGTTTGGATGAAAGGTTTGTGGCACCATAGCACTGTGGATTCCTGGCTTACAAGACTGATCATCCCACGGCCAGACAGTGTAGCTCTGCTCTGGCATATTGTATGCTGTAATAACCATTCCCTAGGTCCAATTTCAGTATTCTGGGTTTAGCTCAACTGGCCACTTACACCAGGTCCAGTACTCTGGGTTAAGCTGAACTGGCCACTCACACCAGGTCCAGTACTCTGGGTTAAGCTGACCGGGCCACTCACACCAGGTCCAGGTTCAGTACTCTGGGTTAAGCTGAACTGGCCACTCACACCAGGTTCAGTACTCTGGGTTAAGCTGACCGGGCCACTCCTAAGGTTCAGTATAGTACGTACTCTGGGTTAAGCCACCAACCCCCTATAAATTGTTGTAAATGTCATAAAAAATGTTTAGATGAATCACAGGTGGATAAAAATTTTGGTCGCCTTGGATTGTAAGAAAAGGAGATTTTTTCACAAAAGCAAAGTTATCCCAATATGTTCTTCCTTTGTGTGTGTGTTTTTTTTTTTTTAATTGGACATGATCATATAGGGTTAATGTTACATCTACAAACAATTAGGTACTGTACTGTATTTCATATTTATAACAGGATTTCAAATTGTTCTCATATGCATAGAGCTCTCAGTCATTTCAAGTCTCTGTGCTGTATCCCTTCTATACTTAAGAACACACCACCTACTGAAGTACTGTAGCCAAAGAGGTTGCAGGTAACTAACATTATTTTTTAAATCGGATCACCACTAAACTAGACACTTTAATTGTAAAAGAAATGTGCCTTTTTCAAAAAACTGTTTGCTTTATGGGGATATTACACCATTTAATATTTTTTATTTTATTATTTGTGTAATAAAATTGAGTGCATACATGTACAGTTTAAGTTAAGTAAAGTAATGTGTATGAAGAAATATGACATCTATCGATTACAGTAACAAATGAAGCGTTCAACTTTGGATACCACGACAGCTTGTGACTAGAGAACTTTAATCTTTGCTGGAATGTAATAGAAATAATTTATATACTAAGGGACACCTGTAATTTATGAGCAACCTGTTGACATCTGTAACCATTCTTGAAAATTTGAAAACATCAAACCAGAATATTCTTGCATTCCACAGCATTTGCATAATGTTATAAATTCATTAATTGCTTCATATCTGTAAGATTTCAGAAACTATTTTTTCTGTATTTTAAATATTATTCAAAATCATATATAATTCAATAAAAAGTTGATAATATTGTAGCCTCTATATTCATCTCAAGAGACAGGTATTTACTTTGTGTTGAGGATGGCACAACGTTCTTGTATGTCATGCAGGTTAGCTGGTAGTTCTGTATAATTATTTCTGGGTTCACACAAACATACCAAGTAAAAGTTCAGTACTAAATAACAATACAGGCTGTAACTGGGAGGTGATTCAGCTGTTGTTTGCAGATGACATCTCACACTAGCTGATGATTCGGGTGAAAAGTTACGAAGTTTGGTGTATGAGTTTAGTAGAGCATCTGCTAAGAAAAAGTTAACCCTCAACAAGGAATGCCAAAGATACTCCTTATGCAATGGCAGGACTAATGTGGGAATGATGAATATTATTTAGAATTCCTTGGAGCTAAAAAAAAATTTGAAGTCTTAAACACGGAAGAGTCTTGAATAAATCAGTTACCGGGGTATGTATATCTTGTCTGTTGGATAGACATAATGACTTATTGTTGCGCCCATCCTCAGTGTAACTTGTGAGAATCTGAAAACAAGATGAAATTGAAGGAAACCAAGTGATCCTTAAGGTCAGCTTCTATTATTGTACTGGAGTTTCCTCCCCAAATTTGGGTAGTAAAGGCAATTGTTGGGAGTAGGTAATAGGTCAATTTGGTTCCATCTTAACATTCCCATAATATTGACTATGTATACCCGTATACAGTGAACCCTCACTTTACGCGGTCAATTGAACCCATGGCGGCCCGCGTAAAGCGAGAAACGCGTAAAGTGAACAACATAACATATGGGATTAATTGAAATTGAGACCGGGGTGACCCCCAAACTCCACTTATTTCCTGACACAATACGTACGTTTTAGTAAAAATAACATCTTAACTTTATGATGGTATGCACACACACATAATATAGAAGGGAACAATCAATAAGAGAATAATATACTGTAGGTTAGATTAGAAAAAACAAGGTTTGGGTTAACACTCGCGTAAGTAGAAGAGATGGGTCGGCGTACGGGAAAGGAGGCTGGTTCCGAGGCAGAGGGCAGGCTACTGGCCCTCAGGTGAGTCTTCATCACTGTCATCCACACTTATTAGTGCCTCCCTGACAAATCCCTCAAAGTCACCATCACTGTCTCTGCCACTATCACTGGCTTGGGCTGGCTGTGGTGGGTTGCGGGCGAAGAACTCGGTAATGCTTTGCTGACGGCTGGTGTTGATGTTGTCGTGATACACCTTGACGTACGGCTCCATAGTCTGCAACAGCTGGGTAGTGAAGACTTCATATCGGTTATCGTCAGGGTCGTCGGAAAGGAGGAGCTTGAGTTTCTCAACACACTCGATGGCACCCCTTACATTACTATGCGATAACTTGCGTTCTTCTTGGGATGACGTCATCTTCATCTAACATCTCGTCAGCAGTCACATCAGGATCCCTTATCACCTCCAGGATGTCGTCGTTGGTGGTCTCGGAGAAGCCTGCAGCTGTAACACTGCGCAGCTTCTCTGGCAAGGTCCACTGCTACTGCAACAGTCTGAGCCTCACCAGTCACAGATTGACTCTGCCTCCCACCTGGAATACCTTGCAACACGTCTCCATGCGTGACGAACCGTTGCTACAGACAGCTGATCCCATGCCTCCACCAAGAAGTCCACAGCTTTGTTGACGTTGAATTTTCTCCAAAATTGTTTCACAAGTACTTCTTGCTCTGCCAACTGTTGTTCCTCGTCGTCTTCGCTCTTGCTATCGGTGTCACCCAGGTTACGCAACTCATCCTTGGTGTTGGTGTAGTCGTTCAGGAGCTTAAATTTCTTTGCAGAGAATGCAGCTTTCACATTACAGATCAATTCTTGGTCCATGGGCTGTATTAATGATGTAGTGTTGGGAGGAAGGAAGACCACTTTTACGTTGGGATGACGATCTAACAGTAGGGGCGAGTGTCCTGGTGCGTTGTCAAGCAGCAACAAAATCTTGAATGGAACATTCTGTTGTTCACAGAATTTCTTCACGTCGGGAACGAAACAGTCATCAAACCAGGAGAGGGACAGAGTAGAGAACATCCACGCCTTACGTGCGGTCAGCCAGTGGACATTTAGCTAGGTCATGTCCATGCTCTTGTAGGCGTGCGGCTTGTGTGCTGTGTGGATCACCGATAACTTGAGCTTACAGGTACCGGAGGCATTGGTGGTAAACAGGACGGTGATGCGCTCCTTCTGCAACTTCCGGCCCCGACACTTGCTGGCATTCTTCACAACGAAGGTCTTGGAAGGTAGCTTTTTCCAAAAAAGACCAGATTCGTCCGTGTTAAACACCTGGTCGTCGGTGTACTGTCCTTCCTCCATAATCTTGCGTAAAAACGGAGGAAAATCCCTAGCCGCAACACGGTCAGCACTAGCTTCTTCACCACCAATGTTAATGTTGGTGATCTTGTTCCTCTTCTTAAATCTCTGCAACCACCCAGAGGAAGCATTGAAGGGTTTGGGCTCTGCAATTCCCATATTACGTGACACTGCAGCATACAGTTCACGTGCGTACTCCTGAACTGAGCGCGTGTCCACCGCCATGTTCCATCACACCTGACGAATCAAGAAGTTCGCAAGTAATTTCTCCGTCTTGAGAAGCACCTGGTTGTGGCAATACTTGATCATAGAAGCACCTGTAGACTTTGTGATGTTCATGTGCTCCTTTATCTTGGCTGCATCCTTCTTAATTGTCCGGATCGTAGATTCGTTAACACCATGCTGGCACGTGAGATCAACCTGTCTTGTTCCTTTCTCCAACTCTTGGATGATCTTGTATTTAATTTCGTAGCTTAGGGAACGTCGTATCTTCTTTGGCTTAGGGCGGCTGGGTCCAGGTAATGCAAGGTTTCTTTGTGGTGGTGGTGGTCCGGTGGCAGCCATTCTTATGGAACAATGGATACCGATATACACGGTGTAGCCGGGAGGGGTGTAACTGACGCGGGTAGGTGAAGGGGCTTGAACGCTCCCGCGGCGGGGCACGTCATAGTGCATTAAACCAATCACAGCTAGCAGGGGAGGGAGGTAAGGATGCTTGGCCCAATCACAGTCCGATACGTCATATGACGTCACCGATAACGCAACAAAGACATACACTGCGCAACCTACTCGCGCCGCTTACCCAACATGGTGGGAGGTTTGAATCCAAAAATGGCGCTGCGCGAGAGGACCGCCAGCCGCTCTCCGCGTAAAAAGGTACACGCACTGCGTAAAGTGAGCATTCCGTGTTCGGCAGGGTACCACGTAAACGTGGAAACGCGTGAAGTGAAACTGCGTAAAGCGGGGTTTTACCGGTATCCCTTTGAGTTCAAGATATAGTACCCTGTATTGTATGGGAGACTTTAAGGTATCTGATGCTTCTAAAATATTGAATTGGATTTACAAACTTACATGATGCCCTGTGTACATGATGGTATAGAGGTGATCTTGTCTGAATATGTTAAGATTGTTGTTAAATAGATGCACTGTTCTGTATTTACCTGTCCTAAAAACTGTTAATTAAAGACATTGAAAAGCCAGCTCGGGAAGTGTTGACATGTCTGTTTCACGAGTGGAAAGTCGCACGTCGATGGGGCCATACTTTCCAGAGGTCAGATATAGTGCATGGCAGTATTTTGTCGTTATTTTCACCACGCCAGAACTACGGTACTTGGACAACCTTTCTGTAACAATATTTTAAGTAACAGGATAAACACTGGTAACACTTCTTGTTCAGTAATCAGTTAAGCCACAGACTTCCAACCTTTCCTAGACTCTGAAGCTGCCACATAACTAATGCAAGGCTTCCTCAATTAAATAGATAGTCATGGGCGAGTTAGTTTCTCTGCGACTCCAACAGTTACGGCAGAAGAAATCTAAACCCCGTATATCCTAATTAAACACAGTAGCTCTGGTAACTTTTGGGTGGAAGCTCTCCACAGCCAGTAGGAAGAGCAAAGGCGTTTTAAAAAGCTAAGGCAGCAAGCGTACATTAAAGTAGACATGAGTTTGTCATAACAGATCTCTGCAGTTTGACAAAAAAAAAGAACTGGAGACCTACTGTAGTTGAATGAAACGTCACCTTGCAAACTCGGGGTACACACATCATGTTCCTGTGATTCATCTGAAAAATTTGTTTATTGAAGGCTGCTAATGATAAATTTCTATGAGAGATTCTCATGTTCCATTCTATTATGCAAATCTAATTCTCATCTTTGTTGTAAGAGGGCAAAATAAAAACCTGGAGTTCGTGAAAATAAGCAACATGAGAGAATTGATCTTAATACTAGTCCAGCCTTTGAATTACCTTCAAAGACGCTTCCCTGATAAAAGAGCCTTGGAGCAAATTTCAAGCATTGTGCGCTTGTGTTGGAAGGCATAGCTCGACCTGGTGGCTAGTTCACGTCATTACAGAGCTCGAGTATCTCATCTAGCCAAGCCAACCCTGATTTGAATGAGTATCGTGAACTAATAAAACCTTATTGTTCTTATTAAGCAATCCAACCCCTTCCAATTGAAAGTCAAGTCCAGAGAAATGCACAGTACAGTCCTTCCTGAGTTGCAAATACGTGCAGGTACATAATCCCATGAGAATTACGGTCAGCCCCCATCCAACATCCATAAGAGGCTTTTTGTAATCCTAAGTTCATCTTCAAAATGGGAAATTTCCACTGCAGTTAACAAAATGGTCTCAAAGTAAATATGTGTTACCTACACAGTGAGGTCAGGAGCTACCATTGGCCAAGAGAGTCGCCACAAACACCCGCTGGCTGACAAGGCAATTGACTCGACACTTTTAGTAACCTTGGCGATCTTCAAGTTATTTAATGCTGGAATTCATATTATATATATATATATATATATATATATATATATATATATATATATATATATATATATATATAATTTTTTTTTTCCACCGCTGATAGGCTCGTTGGCCGATCGGTCACGTCTCTCACGCACTGTTGGCAAGTACTGCGCATGCACCGGCTCCTGAATGTACCTGAACCTGCTCCAGTGTTGGTCAAGTCTGGTCTTGAAAGAGCTCTCACTCGGTGCCGTCACAACACTTTCTGGTAGATTGTTCCAAGAGTTCACAACTCTCACTCCGAAAAAGTTTGCCCTCACAGTTTTCTGAACTTGCGGCTTCTTCAATCCTGAGGAGCTGTGACCCCTTGTGGGGCGAGCGTCCGCCTGTCCGCCAACTCCAAGGACACACGACTGAGTACTGTAGTGCCACTTTAAACTGTTGTCCTATGTGCTACTAAGTTTTGGTCTACACACTATAATTGAGTTTGTAACGTTTACTATGCTGCATAAAGAGGTTAGAGGCCTTTGAAATGTGGTGTTTTAGGCGAATGGTTAAAGTAAGTTACACAGACTATAAAGCAACTGAAGAAGTAAAGGCAAGCAAAAGTTTCAGACATGCTTGAAATGGTAAAGGTGTAGATAACGGCTACCACCAGGAGTTGTTTCTTTATTTTCTTGAATTTTTTTCTGTACTTATTGTTTTGATGATTTTAAGTAAATTAAAAGAAACAACGACAACTTTATCTGCCAGAAAGTGTTGTGACGGCACCGAGTGAGCTCTTTCAAGACCCAGACTTGACCAACACTGGAGCAGGTTCAGGTACATTCAGGAGCCGGTGCATGCCCAGTAGGTGGCAACAGTGCGTAACAGAGACGTGGTCGATCGCCCAAGCGGGTAACGAGCCGATCATTGGTGAAGAGGATAAAAGTAAAAGTAAGGGATGAGGGGATAATAACAAATATTAACAATCTGCCAATGTTGTGACGGCACCGAGTGTGAGCTCATTCAAAACCAGACTTGACCAACACGTGCACAGGTACTGATACATTCTGTAGCCAGTAATGCCCAGCAGTACTTGCCAATAGTGTGTAGCAGAGCCGTGACCAAGCGGCTGACGAGCCCGGCTCAATCAGTGAAGAGGATAAAAGTAATTAATGGGCAAAGTTGAGGGTAAGAGAACCAGGGGGAGGCAGAGACTGGCATGGGTGAATGAAAATAAAAATTGGGCCCCAAAGAAACAAAATCATGTAGGATTGGTAAAACAGCCCAAAAAGGTTTACAGTGGAGGACTGTGGTTGTCAACCCTCGGATATGATTCATATGAGGATGGTACTCTGAGTGATTGATCGTGATTTAATTCACCATTTATTAGCTTACTAGTCGTTCAGGCGACTAGTCCTTTACTTTGTTATGAACTTTGTTGTCCAGTGTTAGTCCAGTATAGGAGAAACCCCCTAATTGGTAGTGTCACACTGGATAACACCTCACGTGTATAGATCTGGGACTCGAATCCAAGACAGTCGTGAGAGATGCACTCCTTTACCAATGCTCATTGTACCACCAACGCCGATTAACATTTCTAACACGGATATGCAGTACAGTATATGATTCGATTTATATATTTTATGTTGTTATAAGTAATTTATCATAATATAAACGCCATTAACTCAGCTTATTAGCATTAACAAGTCCATTGCGGCAAGTTAGTGTCAAACCCAGATGCTTGTAAACAACTCGCCTGACAGAGAAGTTCAGTCATCATATATTATGGACTCGTATCAAGTTATTTGTGATTGGAAAATAGATGATGCAGGTATGCATGTTTATTATAGTACCAGTAACTCAATTTATAGAGTTTAATAAAGCAGTGAGTTCTTTTATGGGTATTTTGACTTCTTAAGGTGGCGGCACACGGGTACTTTCCTCCAAACATGTTGCCCGTTTTGCCGACCAGCTTAAACTCCCAGTAAGCAGCAGGATTTCGGCTGTTGCTAGAAATGGACAACGGTTTGTTTCGTGGGGACCCTTGCTAGCCGGATTAGTGCTCAAGTGAGCTTCGTATAATTTTAAGTAAATATTGAAAAAATAATGAAACAATAATTTAAAATATAACCCATAAACGGTGACATATACACCGCCACTTTTAAATAAACTTCACGTCACACCCATTGTCTTTTCTTTAGCTTTTGCAGACGCCTAACTTGCTTCAGCAATTGAAGAACTATAGCATAACCCTTCAAGGCCCCAACTGTAGTAACGGGATCCGTGGTGAACCTCGACTAGATGCTTTGTTGTTGTTTAGTTGTGTTGGGCAGCCGCTCCAACAAAACATTCCAATGATTCCAGTGTGTTGCAAAACGTCTCTTCGTTTGGCTGGCCGGACCGTGTTTGCCAAACATGTTTGGAGGAAAGTGCCCAGTGTGCCGCTGTCTTTATGTGTTGGCCCAGACACCCTAATGCCAACATAACCTAACCTAATCTAACCTCTCCATGTTCTTTATGGCAAACATGTCTCCTCGATTGACCTAGTTTTGAAGAAATTAAGAAGTTTCTGGTATTGCGAGGGACTGCAGGTGGTGGTGGTGGTGGTTATTTATAGACCAGCGAGCCAGGTGAAGGGTTACACTGTGTTAGGTTATATGAACTACTCTGCTGCCCTTGATCATAAGTGCCTGGTTAATAGAGGTTCTTGCTGCTGCACCTCGGACCACTTTGATGTTTAATGATTCTACGTTCCGAATTCCTTACCTGATCATCTCCACAAATTCACTGAGAAGAGAACCGAGTATCGCTACTGAACATTGGCCACCAACATCATGACTTACCAGAATGTAATATGTAACATTCTTGTGTCATTGTCCACGTTACAGGTGTGCAGTTCAGCATGCATGTAAACAATGCAGGTATACAGTGCAATTTCCAATGTATACTTAGACAGTGCCAGGTTCACAACAATGGTAAACGACAGGAAAATTCGACCAAGGATAATCAGCAAAGACATATGATGCTAATTTATATTCATTATCATTATTGATCTTAAATATAAAATAAAAAACAGCCATATTTTCTTATATGCTTTTGTTCTGTTGCAGGAGGACAAGACTCAAGATAACCCCCAGCGTGATGATCCAAGCGCTGACGGCCACCACCTCCGTCAGCCCGCGTCAGCCACCGGACGTCAGTCACTCAAACACAAGGATCAATTCAGTATTGATTTTGGCGTGTGGTAAAAGTTGCCTGTTTTTATATTATTACCTATTTTGTTTTCTATGTGTATTTACTTATTGTTTTGATATCAGATACTTGTTTATGTGTGTGTACAGGTATGTGAGCGTGTCTGTCTGTGCCTTTGTGTGTGTGTGTGTATGTGGGTATACTGTTTTAACTCTGGCTTACCAGAGATCCTCCACCATTTTAACTGAGTAACCACTTCCTGGAGGTGAGCGGCTGGGCCCCCGGGCTGGTGGTGGTGGGTTGTGTGGACGTCCTTCCCGTGTCTGACTGATGGTGGCCGACCTGGGAAAGAGGTCGGACTGGAAGAGGGGGAGGCGGAGGATAACACTTGTAATAATTACTTCTTGTTTTTTTCAAGAAAATATTTCATCATTTAGAAGAGTTTATACTGTGGTAAGAATTAATATGTTGAATCTAAGGGAAAGGGAGAAATAAATGATAAGTTTGAAAGAAGTTGTAATATAGGGAGTGAGTGAGGCCTTTCAGTAATAATAATGTGTTAATGAATGTTACAATTAAATTACACAGTGTTTATAAAAGTATCTGTGCGGTAACAGTAGAATCCCAATGGAATTTTTTCGTCTTGTATTTGGATATTGATAATTGTTTAAATTAATCAACGAATTAAGTGTATCGTAAGATCTTTGGGGAGTCTAGATTCTGGATCGTGACCTTGAATAATCTCGTGACATCCTGCAACCAACTTCCGCTGACCACACGAGGGAAGCAGCACACCTCAGCCCGTCTTGGGACTTTCCTCGCTGATCTCTTCAACTGACTGGTCGTGGATAACCAAATGTTACTATTGCCTAATGAAACGAAGCTCATCTTGAAGCTTTAACCAAGTACAGCACATGATGCTTTAACCACGTACAGTATAGAAAACTTTAACCACGTACAGAGTATGAAGCTTTAACCACGTACAGAGAATGAAGCTTTAACCACGTACAGAGAATGAAGCTTTAACCACGTACAGAGAATGAAGCTTTAACCACGTACAGTGAGTGCATGACCTAATATTTTTAACCCCTTGCGGACGGGGATCTCTCTATGTTGAATAAAATCGTCTAGCGTTAGACAAATAAAATATTAAAGTGGCGTCCACTAGTGAAGGGGTGACAGAGGCTGAACGAAAGCTTAAGGATTACTGTTCACACTCCAGTCATCGTGAAAGTATTTGTTCAGTGAGAAGCAGTTTGACTTCATCTGAGTTCACGACAACAACAACTTAAAGTGAACTGAATTATAGAAATGGGTATTACTGTACTGTACTGTACTATGGACTCGATGAAGCTTCCATTCCTCACTAAATAATGAGGTAATATCTCCAACACCACGAGACACATGTAAACAGAAACAATGTGCCAATATAAACAAAAATTATTTAGCGTGATGAACGACCACAACAACAACATGGTGAGTGACCGCGAAATAAACACACACCAAGGACTGCAGACAAGGGGGATGGAGAGAGGCGAGGCGATATCCACCTATTAGTTTAATTCCTCTCCCTCTAAACATCCTGACTCGACCATACTCCTCTCACTACTGGTACCGTCTGTTACGTCTAGGGTCCCTTATTGTTATCCCCTCGTCTCCCTCTCCCCCGTGCTGCCGTTCCTCCCCTAATCTCTCGGCCTTGCTTTCCCTTATTGCAACCCTCTCCCCTTACTCCCCCATTGCTATGATTCCCCCTTCTCCTCCTCTCCCCTACCGCAGTCCCCCTCCCTCGCAGCCGACCATTGTCCCTATTATAGATAACAAGCAGCAGCTGTGGCTCCTCCCGACAGGCAGCAGCTACACTCACTACTGGGGCTGGCTGGTTGGAGGATGCTCTCCTTCCTCCTAATCTGATTCAATCTGTTTATGTCGTGGATCACCTGAAGATTAGGTACCCTATCTTATTTCACTTGATGAACAAAACACCTTAACACTATCTACAGGGGTTAGGTTAGTGTTAGGGTGCTTAATCATCATGTGACATCAGCTGTTATCGTTGCGGTCATAAACTGTTATCGTCTTGTCACTCAGAGCATTCAAGTACCTCACTGTCGTATTTAGTTAATAACGAAGCAACCAACCAGAAACATTCCATTTTTGCTCCTACTCTAGTATCCTCACGGCCACGCTTTCCCCTCTCTCGTCATATTTTGCCTCAAGGACTAGAAATTTTCCTCCAATTCCTTACAATAGAAAAAATGTATCTAGTAACGTTCACAAGAAGAGAAAACTATTAATAATCCCCATAAAATTTTGATAGCATTTGTACTTTTATTTTTCACATGTGTTTTTAATATTTGTTCAGACATTACGGTATATAAGGAATTAAACGCCGTAGTGGCTCCTTGACCTTTACTTGCTGGTTTTCTGTTGGTCGCATCCACACATTTGGAGGTCTGTGTGAGCGATACCGAGACGCTCTCAATGTCAGTGAAATGCGAGAACTTTAGACTTTCCTTCGTAACCTCTTGCTCTCCTTTTTCGCGACTCTTCGTCCGGGTATCCACACGTTAATATTTTGTAATTCTGTAATAGGGAAATAGTGACACTAGTGGATATACGCTTTGACTGGCTTTCTTGAACTATCCTTGATATGGTGAATCTTCATACTTTTTTTTTGCTTTAGGTACAAATCTATTCTAGTTCATGATGAATCCAATAGGAATTAAAATGATGATAGTTATTAAATAAACATCATTTAATTAAATAAAAGGGGGAATTCTCTTCTTGTTTTTAAAAATATATCAAGTTGCTTTGTCACCAGCAAGCGAGGAACATTTGTTTACCTAATGGGCGGAGCCACAAAAACAAACACAGTGACAAGTGGGTCCTACTGTGTCTGCTAAGATAGATTTCTTTTGTATGATCATATATGGGGATGAAAGAATTATGCTTTAACAGACTTTTATATGCAACGAGAGAAGGAGAAAGACAAAAGAGAGAATAGAAGCAGATATAATGCAGATAAAGAGAGAGACGGAATGAGCAAGAGGAGAGGTTCATCAGGGACCATGAAGAACCAGACCTTGGCAGCCCAGCATCCACAACAACCCTCCCCCCTTGCTCTCTGGTGGGTGGGGGACAAGCTCAGCTGAACGTCCACACACACACAGGCAATAAACGGTGTGGTCCGTTAAGTCGGTGTAACACAGAGCGTGAGGCACAACCAGGAACCCTTTGTTAACTGCACCCCTTAACCCCTCCCCCCTTTACCTTCCACTCAAGGGGCGAGGGGAATGAGGGGAGAATTCAATGATGACAATTGTTCTGGTGAGGTGAGCCACTGACGCCATTGATGTCAGACGTGATGTTGAAAGAATGGTGATGTCACAGCCAACCTGAGACACAAGGTACTGGGAAGGTATTAATTTTCCTGCCTTTTCAATCATGAGAACAATTGTCGCTAAAATGACTAAACTTTTTCAATATAAAACAAATACTCAGAATAGAAAGCAAATGGAAATACAAAACTGGATCGCCGGTTCCTATCTGACTTTACTGTAAACTGTATAGGCTACCTGTTACATAATGTCTCGTGCTCAAAAGACCTGAAAACTCGTTTTAATCTGAGCAAAACTGGGAATTAAGCGAATCAAAGATAATCATAATAATAATAAAAAAACATGTAGAAAACGTTTCAGTTAAGTTGAAGTAGGAAATAGTTCATATGCTTAACGAAGGAAATGCCTATTTTTCTTAAGTCAGGCTTTGAGCGGCCGTGAACAGTCCAAAATGAGCTACAGAAATTTAATATGATTCATAATTAGATAAACTATTTCATGCAAGTACTTCGCGCTCAGAGAAGTACATAGATAATTCCTTCGTGGTTGATTCCTTCGCCAAGTCCTTATACAGCAACAGTCACTACAACAAGACGCCACTGTTCCTCACTTCCTAACTCAAGTACCTGAAACCTAACCCCTTGGCCCACCCTTCACTCAGTAAACACCTGTTAAGATACACTAACATATGGAAGACCATTTATTACAACGAAACAACTGCGGAATTATGCAGTGTAGGTAAGTGTATTTTATGTTAAGTTATTCGAAATACAAGATAATTCTTGTCTTGCGGCAGTCCGCACTCGCATATTCTGCTCTGGGACCACCATAGTAGTGAAGGTCCGTACTCGGAAAAATGACACAACTGTCAGTTTAGGAGAAAAATGGTACAGAAATTCACTTGTTGACGGGGTTCAGATTAGGTTGATCTGGCCTCCTCGCCCTAACCTAGAGATACTGTTTGTGCCATTTTACTCCTTATGTGATAATGGTCTGAATTAAAAATGAACATCTGTTTGACTGAAATACTCGAGGCTAAAACATCTTTGGCCCGACACTCAAAATAAAGTAGATTAAAAGAGGCGAGAACGTTTTAACTTATACTAATACGTACCAAACCAAACCTTCCTAGAATCAAACAAACTGGTCACTGGGTCGGCTGTTACTTTACTTTGCTTTATTTTATCTACTTTACTGTAGTTCACTCTAATTGTTAATATATTTTTGCTTCAAGAACTATTTAATCACATAAATTAAGTTATTTCATACACTAGGCAAGAACTATGAACAAATTACGAAGAAATACTGTGTTATTGTTGAGGCGTTAGTAAAGGCTACTTACCACACTGGAGGTGACTGGAGAGAAAACTGGTGGAGTCAGGTCAACCACAGCACGACCCGACTCGCTTTCACTAGTCTAACGGTTGTGTGTGTGTGTGTGTGATGAATTCGGCCCAGTAGCCAAGTTTGATATTTCCCGGCACTAGTTCTATTTTGGTACGTTCGTGATTGCCAGTGTAAACATTTAGGTGGAATCAAGTGTATATATCATTGTTGTGGCGCAGTTACGATTATATTCTAAAAATTTTAATAACTTTACTGTTTATGATAACTGAACGCTTATACATTTTCCCGTTAACATGTGTCGTCCCCACGTCACCTGTTGAGCGAGAAAGTAACTTATGTAAACGGGACTTCCTTTAATGAAACTTAATACACACACACACACACACACACATGAACTATTAGCTGTGAAAATAATATTGATTGATTTAACTGGTAAGTAAATGGACAAGCGAGTAATAAATGTTGATAAATATATACTTTTCACGTCTGTTGAGAAATATTTTCATGAAATTTGTAGAAGTTGGATATACATAAGTCGTAATAACGTACGATAATATAAAGCTCCAAAATTTACTGATTGATTATAATTTTCAGCAAGATTTTATCCCAAGTGCAACAAATTCTCAGAAAGAAACTTTTTTAGTACCGTAAACACAACAGGTTCACCAAGGGGAGGGGTCATCATCACACACATCTGTACAGTGATCAATGGACACTTACCTGGGAGAGGCGGAGGGAGGGAGACGGGATGACCAGTTAGAACCACCTTCCTCCTTTAGTTGTCACTTCACCTTTTATTCTACGGTCATGAAAACTATAATAACTTTCCTTTCAGTTCCCAATAATGTGAATTTACGGTTTCTTTTGCAATGCTATTTACACAAATTTAATCTGGCTTTTTGGATAAGTCAAATATGCTATAATCTTATAGGTTTTGGCAACGGCGGGAAGGATTCACGTCCACGTACAGGAGCCGCCGCTTCACGTCCTTGGTGTTATAATAACGGCATTTTTTAAAAGGTGTCACTTCCGGTAACGTCAGCTACTTACTGCAAGACGTCGATTATGCTGAGAAATTAAAATTCCTCTTCGTTATCTCATTTTGGTGTAATGCTAGATTAGTTTGTTTGGTTATGTCGGGGTAGATTGGGCTTTGTTAGGTTAAGTTAGGTTAGATTAGTTTATTTTAGGTTAGCTTAGGTTATGTTAGATTAGGTCAGATAAGATAAAAAAGTGACATTCCGATAATATTCACACAATTACAATATAACACACGGAGACAAATTTTTGCATTACGGTTTATAGGAGTTCCCCACCCCGAGTTATTATACGCAATAAATAATACTAAAAGTTATGCAACTCATTCCATTAAGAGAGAGATGTTGAGACCTTTCTTCGCCCAACAACCATGTTATGTGAGCTTGGTTGTTTAAGATATTTATACTACACTGAGAATCATTGTATATTCAGATATGCAACCACAATATGCATATTCTTAGGTTGCTGGTAATTTCTGTGTTTATTTTAATCTTGTGAACTGTAATTATTATTATTATTATATTGACTGACCTGTTCCCTTGAGAAATAGGTTTTTTATTTAAAGAACTAAATATTTTTTGCTGGAATTCCTAGTAGTGTTACAAGATATAAAGATAATTTATATAGACACTGTTATATCCACCAGTATTATAAAAAAAGTACAATAATGTCCATAAAACATCCTTTTTAAACTATGAAGGTTCAACAATACAACCCTAGTGCGCTTGTCCTAATTAAAATCCTAACGTTTTGATTTTCAGCATTACTGAATATTTAATATATTCGGGGGAGGGGCTGTCATGTCCTAGCATAACAAGAGCTGCCTCTGTTCCACGAGTGGTCTGGTCTCCCCATCCTGCAATTGAAAAGACCAGAGATAAATTCCCATTTCCGCTGTTACTTGATCTCGGGATAATCGGCTCATTGTCTGGAATATTGCATAGCGTACTGGGAGCTAAATTACCCTTCCAAATTAGCCAGCGTGAGATAAGACTTGGGGTCAGGTAAGTTTTGTTCCCTAGTCTTACCATCATCCCGGGGAACATTCGAACAGCCGTAGTCTTGTGAGCTACAGGAAATGGGATTACGGAATGGTTATAAATCAAATTGAAACAAATGGAATATGCTGTATCTCAATTTCACTTTACATGAAATTGTGTTTAAGGAATTGCTGGCCAATCACACCTATTTAAACTTGTCTATTGCAGAGTTTGAGCACAGTTCATAACTAATAATAAGATTTTATCAGCAGTACATGCGTATTTTGTCTGAAATCCCAAATACTACGACTAGTACTACTACTGTCACACATAATCGAGTATGTTTAAAAAAAAATATTGCAAGTCTTGCCAGATCGTATTCACATTTTCTGACGTTCCTTTGAATGAACCGAGTCTAGAGCAGCTTCAGTAGCAGTCTGTCTTAGTAATATATTGTTAACGCCGATCATGAACGAAACTTTCTGCAACTCCCATAGAATTAACGCACGGTACCCGAGTACATTCTTGTGGTATCAGGTTACATTTAATAGCGAGGTAATTATATTATTCACGACAATAGGAGACTAGAATATGCGTATGCGTTGAATAATAAAATGGGTATATATAACGCTGAAATAATGCATTCATTATACAGTATGTTTAAATCATTATGTTTTGCAGAACTGTCATCCAAACAGATTCAGAAGTCATTTAAGCCTCAGCGTCACTCTAGGAGAGTTAAATGTCTTCTTATCTTGACAGATCATATATTAGACCCAGTTAACCAAATGTACACAAGAGATAAGAAACAGCCAGATACTGCTTAGTAAAGTGATTTCAACGTGCCATAAGTTCAGAGTTAGCGCAGCGTCACCACCAGCCAGCGCAGCGTCGCTGGCCTGAGTGAGCGTTGCCCTTGCGATGCCATGTATCTCTTTCAAATATACTTTTATTTTCATATATATAACTACTCATGACTATATATTATATCTAAACGTAATATTTATATTTTTCTGAAGTATAATATAACAGGAAAACATCACTGTGAAAGCTAGAGGTGTTATTATTTCGGTATAATTGACAGGTAAGTGGCATTGAGGGGCGACGGTGGACTAGCTGGTAAGGAGACAAGGCAGAGAGCGTGAAGTACCGGAGAAGCAGGCTTGTTAACTATCACACGGGATTCCTTTACCATCCAGCATCATGACTCGGTGGTAAGCCTTGGCGATTTTTGTTCCTCTAATGATGTAATACCATAGTATGCTTATCTAGGTTGTTAATTTGTAGTGGAAGGAATTGAAAGAGAGATTTTATGGCCTCTGGTGTGTGTGGTGGGAAGTAGTGTGCCCGCACCTTACAGTGTACCACCCTCCTGCTCCTGGCGTGAACCCGCATACCACTAACAATATAACACTCCCCTACTATCTTACGCCCATTGACAACTGATTTTTTTAGTCTAAATATCAATGTACACCGAGGAAATATTGGTTTATTGTGATCTTCTTTGGAGTAAATTCTTCTGTGACGGAAATTCATAAGTGTTGCCCAACTGTCTATGATTATTATTTAGTTCCTGTTAGAGCTTCTGAGTCATAAAGTGCTGCAAGTAGCTTAAGAAGCAGCTTAGTGTTGAATAAGGATGAATTGTATTTTTAACAGTGAAGGTTATTAAACGTTAACACTGAACCACCTGTACGAACCCTTTATTTACCTTACGGAATATGGCACTGAAACAGGTAGTTCTATCAAGTTAATTTATTCTTGAGATTTCTTTTCTACTTTCTGAATTGGTGTTTTTAATTTTGAGTTGTTAAAATACCCGGGAGTTGAAAATATTACGAAATAGTTACTGCCTGTTACCACCATACTGTGCAGTAGGGTAACCCCCTTCATTACGCGGTGTTATTTTTTTTACTCTTATTTGCGTGTTTAAGGTACGGTATGTTTGGTTGTATTGTCTTGGTTATATAATGGCTTACACAACTATTCATAAAAAAATGTAATAGAACAAAATAACATGTAAATATCATGTAGACATTAACGTTAAACCAGGAATATACCATTGTGTTTTGGGGCTTACCGGTATATCCCTTAACTGTTGACAGGTGGAGATACTGAGTCAAATCTGCTGTGTGTCATCAAAATAAGAGAAAGCTTATTATTAAATGACGAGACAGCTGCAGAGGTAGTAAATGTATATCCAGTCATCTTTTTTGTACTATAGCTTAGTAGTGCTTGGCTCCTCCAAGCAGAAGTTGGTGAAGTTAAATCCTGTATAAAGGCACAGCAGGCTGGTAATGCTTACATAGGAAATAAACCTTGGTGTAGTGTATTTCACCTGTGTTCATTAAATAACACCACTGTAGTTGGACTGATTGTTCACACTTTATTTACAGGTGTTGCTTTACGATGATTAACCCCATCGCTACCAGGACGCCGGTTGTATTATTTTATTTGACTAATGTCTGACGATTTTATTCGGCACAGAGAGGATCCCATACACAGGTGTTTAATGTTTCTATGGTATAGCATTCATTTGATCACCATATTCATTTAGTTTCAGGATAACACTAACTTTAATACTGAACTTATCGTTATGTTTTATAGAATTTCTTTTAGCATGTTCAGTTTGATTTTTAATTGGTTGGTGTGCATTTTTGTTAGTCCTTGTGTAGTAGTGTGTTGGTGTTGAGTCATAAGCCACAAATAGGTTTGACATTGGTCATTCATGGCAGTTCAGGCGTGGAAATATAATGCTAGTCTAGAATCTTTATACTGTACTGTACTGTATACAGGTGCAGGTGATATATAGGGATTGCCCAGTTTACAATGGGTTCTATTCCTGAAAAAAAAATTGTAAATAAATTTCTCGTAAATTGGAGTACATTTTCCAATAGACTCCAATTATTAAAGCCACAGAATATATTTTCAATGCCAGGTATTTTGGTGTACACAATGATTTTGGATCAATAATAAACATAAGTGAAATACACTATGAATCCCTAGGCCAGAAACTGTAATAATTATGCCACTGTAGAAATACATTCCCCTTCTATAATTGGATATACAGTAGAGGGTGCTGGGTCACTAGGAGGTGTTTTGAGTGTAAATCATCTACACAGAGGGAGTGATGAGGACTGCTGTCATGGTATGGGGTTTGTGAGGTGGTGTAAATCTGTTGTCTCACATGATGTGGAGTATGTTAGTATGTACAGTATGCTGCTGTTGATTTTGTATACTGTACCGGGTAACTGCATTTTTTATTTTTTTTTATTTTCTTCAAATAGCTACTGGCAAATGGAAAATGTATGGTGTATCTTGAGAAGCAGATATTTATTTAACTATTCACCTCATGGGTTGGTGAGTGTTAGGAAAGGCATCCAGCTGTAAAACTTTGCTTCATCATGCTTGGTGACAACTGGGTCACCAGAGCCCTGCCCTTCTCTGGTCTCGGCCATATTTTCTTGGTGTGTGGTGATGGTCAGGTGGGGGGGGCATCCCATTGTGGTTTTACCCAACAGCTGCCATCATTTAATTACTGCTGACCCATGGAATTGTGAAAAGTGGCTGTAAAACATAAATGATTTAGAAATGAGAAGGTTGCATGCAATATGTAGATTTGATTGGCTGCTTTATTGTTATCCACATCACCACCTCATGGAGCTCCTCACTGAGGGCTTGGCTACACCAGAACAACAACTGGCTGGCCTGCCATTACATTTATTCCTTTACCTCTTCTGTACCTCATATCTTCTCTACTGTTAAGTTGTAAATGTTTAATTCCACTTTTCTCCCAAGGTGTTTTCAGTCTCCCTCTACCCAAGTACTGTATACTGTCCACTTACTGTATTGCAACAATACACCTTAACTGTTCTATGTTATGTTCTTGCATCCTTCTCTCACATCTGAGTCACTCAGTGATTGGGAAGTGTTGTGTCAGCTGATGTAGTAGATGCCTGGGTCATGTGGCCCTGCTTGGGTCAGAAGGTGGGGTGTCACTGTTGCTATTCCTTCCATTGTCTTCCCCCCACTGCACACGCATCATGCAAGCTTGTGTGCTGTTATCTCTGGTGTGTTACCATTGACATCCTTCTGTTGGGAAGCTAAACACGAGACAAGTATTAGAGAAAACTACAGTATTTATGATTTTAGATCATTGTATTTTACAGCATTTTCTCATTATTAGTGTAATTTACTAACATTCGTCTGTGTACGATATGAATACTGTATATGTATGTATACTGTATATGTACTGAACTATATATACTGTATAGGCACATGTTTTCTAGGATAATATCCCAGAGAATATTGTATTTTGAAATTTTATATTACTAATTAGACAATGTTTGGATTGCTACTTTCAGTGCATCTAATTTTTGGTTTCTTTTCAGGAAGGTACACCCCTTGGAGATGTGTGGGGGGAAACACACCAACGGCACACTGGAGTACCACGAGTGTATATGCAACTTTGACTTCAAACGGCAGAAACATTACCTACAAACCCTGAAGTACAAACACTGTCTGCTGGCAGATGAGATGAGAAAAATTGAAAACTTTGAACTGTATGTTATAATTGCTGTTGTTGTTGGTGTAGTGTTAATATTTGGTGTTGCTGCTTTTTGTTCATGCAAATGGTACTTTCAGACCAATGATAATCCATGTGGGTGTTTGTCTTGTGGAAAAAAGAAAAAGAAAAAGAAAAGTGAGAACACAAGTATTGAAGGTGAACCTCCACCTAATATTGCTCAAGAAAATGGGCGCCAGGCGTGGACACCAATACGTGTGGTGCCTTATAAAGACAGTTTAGACGGTACTCTAGACTCACGTTGTGAAACGCTAGACACAGTGAGTAATGAGAGTCCAGGATTTTGTATGAATTTTTGTTTAAGTGACCCAGTTCAAGACTGTTGCGAGTTCTTTGACTGCGATATAATGTGGCGAAAGAAAAATATATACACAATTCCAATGTTTGGTCGACGTAAGCAACCTCCCCTGCAGAGGAGGCCGACCCGCCCAGCACCGCCTCCTCCTAAACCATCGGTGTCAGTTCCCCCGATGATGAAATACCCAGAACCTATGCACATTGGTTATGACGACGATGTTGAGTGTGAACCCGTGCCAGAAGCCCCTCCATCACCAGAGCCCGTACGTGTTGAACAACCAAGAGCCATGTATGTGGATCCTCTGGCCTTCTTACAGAGACCCTTCTTAAAGTCTACCAAAGAAAAGTCTGTTGAGGAGGAACCAGAGGCCCTGTACAGTAAAATGAAAGGATTTGTTTTTGGAAAGGCTAAGAAGAGCTCCAGCATAGTTTCCCTTAATAAACTGGGGGTCTCACCCAATCCAGATACAGTGAGTAACACTTCTAGTAAGAAAAGTAAATACAGCCGGACTGGTAGTCTGGCGTCGCTACACAACCTCAGCGATGAGCAGCTTGATGCCAGCTATCACAACAAGAGATCCATGAGTCTGGCTTCACTACACATGGTGGAGGAAGAACCTACCAAGAGAATGGCACCAAAAGCTCTGGGAAACAAGTTGCTGATGGCCAGAAGTAGAGGTTCATTGCACAATATATGTGAAGATGATATACCCCCCTCTATGAGAACTGACGAATATATTGACCTAGAGGAAATGTCCAAGCGCATAGAAGCAAAGATGCAAGCTGCAAATGATGGGACTTTAGGGAAAAACAGTCCTAGACCTCCAGCATACAGTGATGGTAGTGGTGTCCCAGATCCTTCCAGCCATTCTGTTGTTGGATCAGGTTCATGGACACCAAATTTTGTTCCTGCCTCTGTATATGGTAGTCCACAAATGACAACTGATGGAGCACCACTGCCGTATCCTCTAAGTCTGCACCAGATGTCTTCCCCTGGACACCAGCACAGGGCACCATTAGGGTTTGAGTCCCCTTACGGATCGTCATCATCCTTCAGGTCTGGTGAAGAAAGTGCAAACTCAAAATACTTCCCTCCGGTACCCGCGACACCAGAGAGACCAGCAGTGCCGGCAAGGATAGCTATTGGCTCACCCGTCGTCAACAGCGGCACTCTGGGTCGACCTAAACCTGCCGTTCCGCCAAGACCTCCAGGCAGTGGAAGTAATTCTCCCAAACCTCGTGCCCCACAGCCGCCGACCCTCGGGAGATCGAGTCACATTGTAAAGCCCTCGGCGCCACCACCACCACCCCCAGTTACTACACCAATAGAGTCCTCACTGTGAAAAACACATCTTGGGGTGGGTGGGTGGGTGGGTGGGTGGTCATACTAGTAGATAATTAGAGTTACAAGTGATGAAGGTGAATATGAATTTACTGTTTTTATATAATTTACTTGTACACATTAGTCATGTTGACTCGCTGCTCAAAAAATTTCTCTGCCGCCATAAGCAACCATGGGGAGGAATAGTATTGATTAACTACATACATGTCTTTCATATGTCCCTTGTGACACTCGGCTAGATTCCTATAGTTCTATAGTTTGTTTATCATTACGTACGAACGGTAAGCCATTATGCATAGCCACTGGAGATGACAATCATACGATAATGTTGTGACGATGATTCACGAACAACATATTTATCCAGACCAAAGTGTAGAATAGAAATAATTTGTGTACAGTTATCCTGAACATATCATTGTAATTAACCAGAATATATCTATAATTAATCAAGTTAGATTTGAATTAATTGGCAAAACAGACTCCCTGCAGTAGGTATTGCAGGGTAGAATACAAGAAAAAAAATACCTGATCATACATTTTATGACCATTTCATTTAACCGAACATAATTTTTCTATGAACAGGTGGATGGATACCTGCTTGCTGCTTGGTACAGACAGACCACTGGCTGGTTATCTCATGCATTAGATGTCTTTCATAGATATTGACTAATAACTTCTCTTAATACATATTTATTGATGAAATATTGTACTGACTGAAAAACATCTTTTCTCCACTATTTTGTTCTATTTTATCTGTATTATTTATTGATGTAATATTGCACTTACTGAAAATCATATACACCCCTGTACTTTTCTTCACTATGTTTTACTATTTGGTCTCGTTAGGACAATGCCTACTGCACTCTTACTGTGACAGAGAGAAAACCTCGTTTAAATCAGTCTCGATAAACTTCTACTGTACTTACCAGCATCACTTGTTCAATTTGTCAGCTCGTCTCTGATACTGTCAGTTTTATAAGTACCCGGTAACTACAATACATCTCGCTCAAACCTGATTGACGATGCCTCACTTCATGCGGTACAGTACACAGATCCACACCACAAGTTTACACATCCATATTAACACAGGAACTCTCACTTGCCATGTCTGATCTGCAGAGTTACAGGCACATTGTTCTCGAGAGTCTTCTTCAGCTTTCCATCTCGTTGTATTATTTCAACACTTCTGCAAACTCTGATGTATTTCAGGTACCTACTTGAGCAGTCTCCATATCACCCATTTCTTCACAGCCCTTAGTTGGAAATTTTATCCATAAACAGTACTGTACTTTACATCATATCTTGCATAAATATGAGCATTTTTCACCTATAATGAGAGAATGTTCACTATTGTGCCTTATTGGTCCAGTATACCATAGTACTTAATATATTTGCTATGTTTAGTTCATATGACAACACTCATCTATTTTGTTTCATTAACTTGTGATTCTTAACAGAGCTGTAATCCTTTACAGATCACCAGCCATGATGGCCACATGATTCTGAAATCGATAACTTTCCCCATTTTGTAATCAAGAATTTTCTTTCTACATTAGTGATGTACTGGATGACAAGGTGATGTACTACATTACCATGTTAAGACCTAACTAATACTTGAGGTTAATCACAATGTTTGATAGTTTTAAACTGTGCTCAGATCTACAGTATTTATAGAATGTGTTCATACTGGCAGTGGTGACTCATGTGTAGTGTATATTTAATAGTCATGCATGCCATTTATTCCTGACTAGAAATATGAGACAAGTTTTGAGTATAAGCTGCTATATACAGTATCAGGTGACTCCAGACTCAATTATATGATTTATTTATTGTTTTAAGATATGGCAGCATTAATGATTTGCTGTAAAAAAAATGGGACTTGTCAATGGACTTTTATACTGTATTACTGTACAGTACAAATTTCATGACAACAGATTTGTTAATGCTTGGTATTATTTGTTTCGGTTTGCTTTATGGTTGGTACAAAACAAAGAAATAATGAAAAGGCTTCATTTGAAAAAAAATTTCACCTTTGACCTTTTATGATAGTTATTTAAAATTTTCTAACATCCTCTCTGAAGTGCTAATGCCTTGAAATCATTTTACATTTTGATAGTCCAGATATTTAACATTATTTTAGAAAATAACAGGTCTGCTTACCAATTGTGATCGCATTTAGTTTGAATAAATGGACAGCTACACGAACATTTTCTATGAACCAATCAGCTATTTTTATAGAAGAGGGGCGTGGCTTACGGGCCAGGTTAGCAAGGAAATACTTTAGTTGGAAGATTAGTGATGTTTCCCCCATAACATCTACAGGAGTATTAGAGGCAGTAGTCATCACTTACTGTTAGAGGCCTAATGAGTCTGAGCTCACATTAGCACTAAACACTGAATCTAATGCCCGGGTCTGACATACATTGGAATTTCCTTACATCAATCTATTCAGATCACGATCACTGCTCCAAGTAAGCAGAAGTTTCGTGTTTATTATGTATCCTGCCTCACTGTCTTAGCACTTAAACAGTTATAGATTGAGTCCACACAGTCCTAAATGGAAGTGATAAAAGGAAAAATTTACCTTGTTGTTTACATTTGCTAACGACCCAGTGTTGAGTTGATGCAGCATGTGGGCCTGTATACCTGTACTGTACAATTGTGTGGGAAAGGGGAGTTAGTAAAGTCAGTCCTTTGGCCCCTCCTATGTATTTACAGTAGTACTAGGGTTAACTGGTCTGTTTGTGTCATCGTCCCTCCCATGAGCTGGCGTAGATACAGGAGTGACTGAGTGGAAGGCATTAGGCCTTAAAGGAAGGATTAATCTTGAGTCTCCATGTAACTTCAGAGATTCAAAATCCCTTCCTTTCAATCAGTGGCATGAAAGTCTGTCGATTTGAATGGATGTTCCCTTAAATTTCAGTGTGGCTGATGTGACTCAAGTGTGATGTGTGGACCATTAGTGTGACACCAGACTTGTACGTTTACCCGTGAGGGATGACTGATGCTTATATTGCCCCTCTTTTAGAAATGGACCAAAGTATCAGTGAAGACCAATCCTCCGTTTTTAATGCAATAGGATGATTATTTGTGCAATTAATAATTTTTTTACATTAGAGAACGGAATTTCCAGAAGTAGGTGTTGATGATTAATTGGCGATATAATTATTGATAAGATTGTTTAAAGCACCGTAGCTTATTGATGTACCTGTATGCTGCATGTTTATTTTTTTGGTGCACAGTATTATCATCTATTGTGTTCAGTTCGTTGCGTACGAATCTCCTCATGTGTTTTGTGTGTCTGTCAGTGTTTTGTTAGAGGCGTCCCAATGAAACACTTGTCACACATAAATTCCGACCAAGAAAAAAAATCTCTTACCAGATGTAAATTCCCTACTTAAGTGGAGATATGCTAATTGATAAGAGGTAAATGTATTTATTTTTTTTGCAATGAGCCGTAGTTTTGTAGTTCGATTACCTAAAATACAGTATAGTAGGCTGTGCAGGTATTTAAATTTTTTTACCAAGCTGTAACTTTATAGATTGTTTAGTACTAAGAATACTGTACTAAGGGCTGTGAATTTAAATTTTTTTTTACCAATTTATAACTATTTTTTAATACTGAAAACAGTAAATTTGGTGGTGGCACATAATTTTCTCTGGTGTTGAGTTATTACAGCAGTTTGTTATCTTTGTTATTTATTACTGTTTGTTTTTCATTTTGCTTTTACCATTTTAATCTGATGTTATACAGTTACTGGATTATATTGTGTGTATTGGACAAGGTACCAATTATTGTTTTGTTTTTTGAGGTAAATTCTGTTGAGAACCAAGGGAATTACTTTTGTGTATTCAGAGTTAAAAGCCACATATCGAAAATTGCTCCATCAATATTTCTGAATTGTTTTGGGGTAAACGGAGGCCATTAGTACCCAGAGTATGTACAGTTGCCCATAAAAGTCCTGTTGCCTTTTCTGCTGCTTCACAAACACCAAGATTCAGACTTGTGATTCCGAAGCTGTGGACACTGATGCATTATTCTGTCCATAGCTGCTTTGGAGTCACGAGTTTGGATCTCGGGGTTCTTGGTTCAAGAAAGAGGAGACAGGACTTTCATGGGTGACTGCACAGTACAATATTGAATCAGTAATAACCAAATTGATTGCTTAGTGAGTCTTATTGTTATTATTAGTCAAAACGTCAATGGGAAGTATTTTCCATATGACCATGTTGTCAACACAGGAAAAACCAAGAGAGAGTAAGACTTGAGGAGTCATACTGTATCAACTATAAAATGGTGACACTAATACTTGGTGCATAGAGTTTTATATACAGTAATCTTATTTTAATGAAGTTGTCATTTATCTATGATGTCCATATAGAAGTGTAAAGAATAATCCCTTTTGGGGGGAGATTTTTAAAGTGAATAATAAAATTTTTGTATATACTGTACAGGGTAATTTTATAATCTCTGGTGCCTCACAACTGCTTAATGGTGCAAAAATATTACTAAAAACTGTATAATATAGTACAGTATCTACAAGTGTGTGTGTGACTCAGAAAACCAACTGTGATATACTTTTGAGAGAAGACTGCTATTTGAATTACTTTTTTTTATTTTATCATTTGGTAATAATGCTTAGTGCTTACCTGTAAATATTTTACAATACACCTAACAAGCTTTGAATGCACTAATGTTTTAATGGGGGGGGGGGAAGAGTCTCAATTACTGCTCCAAGTGCAGTACAGTATTGTTAATTATTTTGATGTGTAATGTAACAAAATATTTCCAACCTTTATGTAGGTTAGGTTCAGTCACTCCTACATAGGTTGATCTCTGTAGTTGTTGTCATGTGGTTCAACTTCTGAATTTCACCAGTGTCTTTGTTTGTCTTTGTTTCTACTTGTATGGCTTTATTTTATGGTGTTCACTGTGGCCCTGTTTCTATGGTCCCATTGCTATTACTACTAAACATGCAAATATCGTCCTCTGACCGAGTATCCTTCCCTCCCAAGTGCTAAAAAGACTCGTAAGGAATGCTTGAAGGTTGTATTGGAGAAAAATCTTCAGCGTTATTTTTAACTATGACAGAAGAGAAATAGCTGCTGGTATTGAGAAATCAGTTGTAAATTTAGTGTGTGTTTGCCCCCATCATTCATACAAACGGAAAAATCCATGGAAGGCAAGATGGCATTATGTGGGAAAAGTTTTGGTGGGTGTTACGCTATCATTTATATAGAGATGGAAGGGGAAGATAGCATTATGTGGGATGGAGAAGGAGGAGTGGAATGGGAAGATTGTATTCTGTAAGTCTTTGGTGAATGTAATAAAGTTTGCTTACATGTGGAAGATAACTAAATTTTACATTAGATGGAATGAGCTCTGGGGGGGGGGGGAGAGACTTGGTTATCTTTTAAGTTTTCACTCAGTAAAGTTTCCATAGTTTTGCAGCAGTGGCAAAGTTGATTGATAACAGATGTAAGTCAGATTGGGATTTGGGCTCATTTGTCAATAGAGATAGCCAAATACAGTTAACTACTAAAGTCCGTTCGCTTCTCCCCTGAACCATGAACCCTGAGATTCAGACTCGTGAATCTGATGAATTTATGGACAAAATAATTTATCAGTCTAGTACTTCGGGTTCGTGGTTCAGGGAGAGAGGTGAACAGACTTTAGTAGTTGACTGCACTTAAGTTATACTGTACCAAAATATTTCTTCGCATTAGAAGGCAATAATACCTATACATGTAATAAATTCTTTTTAAACATCAGTGTATGATGTGTACAGTAAATGTTGAAATTTATTATATATACTATGTATACAGTAGTACTTTTTTGTTCATGTACAGTACTTATTTCATATTTGTACCTTGTATATGAAAAAAAATCAAGATTATTTCAGAGTTTAATTTAAAAAAAAAAGTAAATCAGTGGAAAAAAAAAGACCCACAAAATTCATTTCTCTTCATCTCATGCTCCACTTTAAGTGTTGCACAAGTCATTCACTGTTACTCTTCTGCATCACTGACATCCTCATTCATTGTAAACAAGTCTTGTCACTTTTCAACACCACCTAATCACAACTCTCATGCATTAATAAAAAAAAAAAAATTGGATAATAAAAAAGATATGTATATACTGTATTGTAAATATTCGTAGTAGTTGTAAATAAGTAACTGTACTGTACAGTATTGTGTTTTTTATTACATGAAGGCCAGTTGTAGGTTTTACACTAGGATCTGGCTATGATTTGCAGACGAGATGGTACACGGGATGCAAGCTAGAGAAGTTATGTGACTACTGTACAGTAACAGTATTTTAGTATGTCTTAAGCAGAGAGGCTGTTTGTCTCAAATGAAATAAGACGTCCCATAAAAAATTTTATTATTATGGAATTTTGGTTTTTATACGTAAGTTTGAAATGCTTCCTGTGCAATCTTAATAATCAACAAAGACCGTTCCCCAAACCTCTCATACACGGTATTTTAATATGAGCATTTATTGTGTAATGTGATGAAGGTAGAGGTATCTTGAAAGTGTAACGTTTCTTGATTATTTTCCATTTTTTTTAACTACATACAATGTTTGTTCATGACATGATGGATAGATTGCTTCTGTTAACAGTATAAGATGGTTTCTAATTCACTTTGAATGTGGCAGACAGCCTACAAGAAGCTAATTTACAGGTCCGAGCATGTAGTGAACGTTTCTCCTAATTACTAAGTTTGTAGTGTTATCCTCAGTCATATATTTAGAAAGACCTTTACACTTGTGGGTGCTGACATGAAAATTATTACAACCAACAGAGATATTAGTTGTGAAGTCATCCAGGGATAAAGGTCATTGAAAAACTTGCCCTAATTTCTGACCTGATTGAGAACTCGTAGAAGTTCAGTTGTGGTTAATTATATGAAGTGAGAAGAAACAATTAAAATATTCCTAAGGATATTGTGACAAAGGAATAGAGTTGATTGTCATCTAAAGTATGAAAAGTAAATTTTATTAGTAATGGAGAGTGCTAGTGTACAGGTCTAGTTTGGTCTTGTTCTGCCTGGTCAGTTTAACCTTCTGGGAAAAGAATTTCTCATACCTTTCAGTAATAGAAAATGCCAACCCACTTGATAGAGAAATCATTACAATTTCCAAATTACTATACTGTATAAAACAGAATTTGTGTAAATTTGCAAATTGACATAAAATGTCATTGGGTAATAGGTAGGTCACAAATTGAAGTGCATTTCTGAAGACATTATACCTGTATTATTGTAGTATTCATACCAGTCAATAGAAACTGTATGTGGAAAACACTACTGTATAATGGATGTACACTCGCTCCGAAGGTATCTTTACGGAGGGATCAGTCCGATGAATTTCAAAAGGAACATGCAACTCCCGTTGTCTCGGCAAGGTTGTCAAAAGCCTTCGTCCATTAAATCATAATATTTCGTCCCACAAAATTGCAAAGATACATTTTTGGAATGAATGTACAAGTACAGTACTAAGAAATGCTTTGCATGGATTGTTGACTACTACATAAGGCTTCATTACTAGTGTTAGGTACAGTAAGTATAAGAAACAACTTATCAGTTCCTTGTGTACTGTATTGTAATCTTTTTAATTTGTCTTGTGTATAGTTGCTTGAATAAGGACGCTAATTATGTGTAGGTTAATGCTTGGTGAGTTGAGAATATACGTTTATATATTTTGATGTATGTGACTTGTATGGCTACTGCTTATTATAGTGTCTGTTTGGAGCACGATATTTGGGCATTAGTTCTTGAGTGTGAAGTAACTTGTGTTCTGTGGGTTAGGTCTGATGGCTGTATGTATTTTGATTATGACGATGGAATGTCCTGTGGGTATAAAAGAAAGTCCTGAGTGACTTTATGAAAATGCTTCAGAATTGTTGAACATAAAATACTTGAGTGGAGAAGATGCCAGCAGTTCTCCATTGAAAGAAATTGATCTATGTTTATAATGGAATGTTCAAGTGATAGTAAATATGAGATTGAGAGACATTGCATATTCAGGAGTTGCAATAATCATTATCACATTTTATTGTTACAGAAGATTCTTGTAGTGCAAAGCTAATGTAAAATCACCAGTGTGGTTTATTCATCATTGTAGTGTAAATTTACTTTTTTTATTTATTTTTAATTATTCCTAAACATTTACTCCTTCATCTTCCCTGTCTTGTTGATGTCGGTTTTATCATTGAACTTGTGTTGATGTGGAGTAACATCTCCATTGAAGTTGTAACATCTTATTTAGTACAAGGTGGTTAGGTTATGTTCAGTACCAGTCTTGGGTAACAGTGAGAGAGATCAGTTCTTGGGGAAGGAGTTGTTGATGATTATTGATAAATGTGATACTGTATGCCATACTTAAGTCTGTATTTCATGTAATGTTTATAAATAAAAATTCAGATTACACCACGGTTTCATTGACTTGTTGTTTATTTTAATTCTCACATAGTTCACAGGTGACGTTCTACCACCCTGGTAAGAACTCTTATATACTGTGTAGTTAAATATTGGCAAAATACTGTAATAAACATTTATTGTTTCCTATTATTATAAATAAATAAGATAAATAACCAATTATAAATTAAATGGTAAATATTATAAATAGAATAACTTAGTGATGATATTGTTGAGAAATAATATAGATATAGGTGAAGTAAAGTGTTCAGTTGATAGGGAAATTCTGTAGTGTCAGTAATGATGTGTGCAATGTAAGCTATCACTAAACAAGAATTAAGCCCTGGCCAAATATGAGTACCTAATAGGGTGTAGTTATTATTACCCAGAGAGACTACATGTGGGTTAGGCAGCAGACGTGGGGTGATTTGTATTGTAGTGGGGGCATGATGGGGGGGGGTAGCAGAGTAATTGAGAATATCATCATATGACTTGCAACTGAGATAAATTACCGAATAGGGAGGAAGAATTATTATGCAAGGTTTTTATTTTAAAAAATTTGAAGCAGAAATTGATATATTATTCTGTTAATTGTTTTTTATATTGTTATACGGTAACCCAGCCATTAATGCTTACTGTGTCAATACTGTACTGTCGTTGGCATGTTTGTTGTCAATGTTCTGTAATAAATAATATGACCTCCATTTAGCAATAAGATAGCATATGATATATGATGGACTGCATATCTTATTTCAGTGCCAATATGGAGAAGATTTGAGTGTGTGATGCGGTAAAATGCTCAGTGGGCTTATTCTATAGAGACGGTTGCCTCTTCATTTACACTAATAGGAAATTGCACGGGTGGGAAGAGCTTGTCATAGACGGCCCGAGCCATGGCTTTTATCCCTTGGTAAGTTTCGACTCCTGTAGGTTCAATTTGTTCTTTAGGTAGTATGAAGCCGTACTGTCCTGTAGGGTAAGTGGAGATTAGTACAGTGTTTCAACTAATGCAGAACTAAAAAAAAATTGGAAAGATATGTTTAGTGAAACCTCCATATAATGGATTTCTGTCCATATACTGTAGTACAGGTACTGTAATCTGTTTGATGGAGGATTCATATTTAAAGGGCCCTTGATATGGATTTTCCCCTCCATATATTCTGTTAAATGGAGGTTTCACTACTACAGAACTGAAAAATACTGATGTAAAAGCCATTTATATGCACTAGAAGGAGTATCTTTAAAACAAATTATCTAACATGTAGTAATAATTAACATTTTGTGATGATAGTTAAAATTTTCAGCTTGTGAATTACCATTACTGTGTTGCTCCAGTGGGGGTTGTCTTATTATGGTTGTATCCTTTATGCTTTAATGGCTACTTTTTTTTAATTTTGCTTTCTTGAATGAGAACTTATTCTGTAATACTAAAATATACAGTAATAGACAGCACTTGCTTTCTACTGTTATAACTGACTGAGGAATGCACAGTACAATATATCCTTATAACTGACTGTACCACTTTCTATATTCTCTGAAGGTTTTATAAGAATACTGTACTGATTATTAGAAATGAAGAGTTAATGTTTCAACCGAGAGAGGCCATTAGGCAATACCCACCCAGGTCACGAAGCTCGAGGCTGTAGCTGTAGGGGATGCCAACACTGTGTGCATAGTCTCCTGAAGCTCCCGAAGCAATGTACAAGAGGTCTGTGACTTGACCAAGAGAATATCTGTTGGGGAGACAAGGTTCAGGAAAGATGTTATGAAAGAGTCAAATCATTAAATATTCATGTCTTATAACGCTAATGTAAATTATTGGACGTATGGCTAGTTCTGTGACAATGAATCTTACATTGTGTAACACTCGCTTCAAAAAGTATCTTCACAATTTTGTGTGAGACAATGTAATAGAACGGATGTAGGACTTAGACAACCATACCGAGAAAACAGGAGTCGTGGTGTTCATTTTGAAATTCATTGGACCTCTCCATAAAGATACTGTTTTGGAGTGAGTGTACCTTCTGCGAGTGTGTGGCTGGACTAGACACACTCACACCACCTACAGTAATGTCACACCTAACACAGAGGTCACCTTGGGTCAAAAGTTCCCTCCCTCCCAAACTGGAAGCCATATAAATTCCAAATGAGATAAAACAGTATGCCCACACCAGATGACAAACAGGTAAGCACTGTTAAGTTCAGAGACTCATTCCCATGACTCAGTTTTACCTCAGGAGCAAACTTTTGTTCACGGCTGCATACTCTGACACTTGACTGACTGGGCCTTCCATGAGTAATGTGCAGTTTCTTTTAGCATTAGGTCGGTTAATCTTAAAAGTGAAATAAATTTGGGGCTAATCTTAATATAATCCCTGTTTTTAGAATACTACAGTATACAAATATCTTGCTCTTAATATTGTGCTGTATACTGGATATAGCATAGCATCCTGTACTTCAGCCAAGAATTCATAAACCACAAAGTTGGGTTCTACATTTCCACTCTACAAACCATTATACTTTTCTATTGAATATTTTAGTTTATATATATATGAATAACTTTCTTTTGTTACACATAAGATGTACAGTACTTACAAAGATGAGCTGAACACACTAACGTACTTCTGTACACAGTCATCCATCAACACTTACCCAAGCCATTGTAGTCACATTTTGAATATTTTTTCAGAACTTTTTCATCAATATGAGTTTACAAGTTTCACTTACTCTGTTCCGTTGACAGTCTTTAATCCATCTAAAGCGAGTTTTGCAACATCATACATATCTTGGTATTGGGGTGAGACCTCAAGCGTGTAGGACCAAGGCAACATCCACATTTGGGAGTAGGCGTGGATAGTCACAAACACCTTTAGCTATGAAAGTCACAACATGGATATAAATATTATTAGATAGTTACAACAAGGTTATGGTCCTGTTAAGGTTTACAAGTTACTAGAATTAATACCTTTAAATTGGCTGAGTTTATTTTCATAACATATTTACAACAGAATAGTTATTTCAGTGGTGTGTGTGGAACTGGCTCCTGTAGGCTTGACAAATACACCACGCTGAATATTAAGCTTCAGTATACTCGGAGGTATTGTGGTTGGTAGTGTGCCTTAGTGTACTCATACTGTAACTGGAGACATTTACTAAGTTTGCCTACTTAGAAGTTAGGAAAGAATCAAATTGTGTCCAAAATAGTTATATAGTTCCTCTTATGCATGAAGGGTTATAGGTACTTGTATTATGTTTTTTAACTGTGTCACAGAATGCCACACAAAGTGAAGTTGCTTAATTTATATGATATAGAATAGTACAATACAGTCACCCACAAAAGTCCTGTCACCACTCCTCCTGAACCACAAACCTTGAGATTCAAACTCATGAATCTGAAGCTTTTAAGGACAGAATAATGCACCAGTATCTAAAGCTTCGGGTTCATGAGTTTGAATCTCAAGGTTTGTGGTTCAGGAGGAGAGGCAAGAGGACTTTTGTGGGTGACTACACATATTTCTTTATCCATTGTAAGATTATTGAATGTCCCTCATTATACTGGGGGTTAGAGTGTCGCCAATCAAGTGTTTGTTGGTTCAGTACAAATATTAGGTTTCAGTATAAGTGTTAAGCTTGTCTTATGTTTTGTAATTTGTAAACACTGGAGGTTAGGGCCGGGTTAGGTTAATGAGTAAATAATAACTAATATTAAAACATGCAAAGGCTTTGATATCCTTGGCAGATATACTGTACCATATAAGAGAAATACGTATGATAATTTTATATATTTTTTTGTTTGTGGGGAAACTTTAGATTACTTTAGTGTAGGGCTAAAAAAAATGAATCCTCATATTTAGATTCTATAATGTTGCAAAAAATAATACTGTAAAAGAAACTTGAACTTAATTACAAAAACAAAAGATCTCTCTCACCTGGTCCTTGCGACTTAGGATAAAATCTCTGATGGCTCTTGTCTCAGGTTCAGAGAAAGGCTTTGGTCCAGCATAGGTAGAACTGCAGGGATTTTGGGAGGAACCGCCCATTGACCACTTGAAGCCAAAGTTCCTGTTTGCGTCCACCCCAACACAATTTGGTGACTCAGGGTTGACAGAGCGGGTTTTGCGCCAGAGTCGGTCGTGGAGTCGGGAGTATTCATATCCTAAGAAAAAAAGGTTTTGTTTAACCCCTTGTGTGTCTCTTCCCTTCTGAGCTGAACAATTTGGATGAGTGAACTGTTAGCTTGAAGATGTACAGGAATGAATACATGGAAAGGGGTGTATTAACAGTCTAATATGACTGAGTGGGGGTAAACAGAGGCTGCCCATACATTTTTTCCCATCTTCATTCATGTTAACGGCCCAGACATCTATTCCATATTTAACAGTACTGTATTCTTCATCCTCACTCAAGTACCCCTGTATCTTCATCTTTGCTTTGTACAATTATAAACAAAAGTCCTGTTGGTCTGTTATCTCTCCTGCTGCTTCACGAACCCCCAAGTTCAGACTCGTGAACCTGAAGCAGTAGACATTGAGGCATTATTCTGTTCAGGGATGCTTCAGGTTCGTGAGTTTGAATCTCTGGGTTCATGGAGCAGCAGGAAAGACTTTAACCTGCATGTGTAAGATGAGGATAAGAGGAAGTATCTACAGTATTTCAGCACACAAGTAATGTTTCACCTTTTTCTAGTTACAGTACTCTTTAGATTTGTCCTACACTGCTCTCTTTTACCATTTCTGTAAGGTTCTGTAGACCTAGATCCACTCTGCACAAAAGTGAGAGATGGCCAGAGGTTATAATTATATAGATTGAAATTTTAGTAGAACAGTTGGCGATGGAGACATTAACTGGGGTATGCTGCAGTACCATTTGTCAAAAGCAACACACTATCAAAGATCACATCCCCCTTTGATATCTGTTATTTTCTAGGTTTCTTGTCTTGTTATGATTCTGTTTTATTGTCACTTTCTGTTTAATTTTTATAGTTATTTATTCTTAAAGAATCCTCAGTATTTTGACACATCTATGTAATGTGAACAGGTTTGTCATATTGGGGAAAAAATGAACATATTTTAGATGCAGACTTAACCTAAGTATTACTATGGATGACTATACTTTGTGTTATAAGGACTTACCATCAGGGTTGGCCATAGGCATAATGTACCAGTCAAAGTTACTGACAAGGTCTGGTTCCTCCCAGCTGAACTCAGTTAAGTGATGGAGGATATACATGACAGTGGCAGGAGAGACCCACTCACGAGCATGAAGTCCTGTGAGAAAGAGTCAACTTGTCAAGTATTTTATGTAGGAGTAATTTTTTATAATTTTCCTTTTCATATGAGTTTGCTGACCAATAGAGGGATTACTAGTAAGTGACAGATTCTTGTATAAATACATACTGAAAGTGTTTACGAACAATAAAGGACTTCATACAAGAACTCAATCAGACCTCTAACTGAAGTTTCAGTGGATACATCTCCTTTTGAACACCAAATTCATCAGTTCAACTTCTGAACATTGAAGTCTGTTTTTTTACTTGTCCCTATTCTGGAGGCTTATCATAAGAAATTGTCTGTGTCACATACAATGAGAAAGAGTCATTGGCAAACTTGTCTTTACTTCACCAGTGATTTGTTTAAGGAATCCCTTATCCCTATGACTGTTTGGGGACTGAATCAAATACTGTACTAAAAATTAAGGATCAACTGAAATGTTTACCACACCCCTTGATTAAAGCATAATATGCTAGTCTAAAGAAAGCAATACAATTTTTAGGATTTCTTTTGGATGAAACCTCACAGCCGTTTCCCATGTATTCCATCAGATGTTCACAATGTTTTAAATACAATTTTATGAACCAATTAAAGTCTTAGAGCTAAACAAGTACCATTTTAAACCTTTAGTTTACCTCCATCAATCCAGATAGCAGGTTTGTTGGGTCCAGTAGATATCTTCACCACACGAAGGCTCCGGTTCTCATAGGACAAACCAATTTCCTCAGTGGTGACAAGGTGTGAGTACTGTGCCTCCAGGTAGTCAATATACTGGTACATGTCTGTGTGAAAGGTTTGTACAGTACAGTGAGGTGAATGTTGGGAGAGAGACTGGAAGACCAAAAAGAAGACGGAATGGAGGATGAACCAAATGTGAAGAAGAGATGGACAAGACACCTACAGTAGGATGAAGCAGTAAGGGTGAAAGTGAGGGGAGAGCATGCCATTGAGATTATTAGTTTAAGGACATGCTGCTGATGGGAATTGGTGATAAATTATCACTGAAAACTTGAAAAATCACTACAGGAGATAAAATCCTCATACAATCATAGGTTCTTTTTTCCCTTTTAGATGACATAAGTGAATACATCTGGTCATGGTGCCTGATGGTGACTAGTAAGGTATGTCCATAAAGATAAAAGAAAAAATAATATGTTGATCTTAGAAAGTCCAGACCTGAGGATACATGAGTGGAATTAGTGTGTAGCCTTTATAAGTCATAGCAGGTATTATTATTCTCAGTTGGCTCCTCCATTTAAAGCTGGTGAAGGTTGCTTAACTCAAACAAACCATGATATAATTTATTGCTCTCAAACACCAACATTGTCTACTGCAACATTAAAGAGAAATTTATTTAAAGCATAAGGAAAAACTGCCAGAGTCAGCATGTAATACACGTATTGTATTGTACTGCCTTTGTTGAGGACATGTTGTGCATGTGTAGGAGCATTCAGCCAGTATCAGGAAATATCACAAAAGAATCTCATAGTGTGTGTACTATACTGCACAAGGTAACTGTGGTTGTGTTCACACCTATGATCATGAAGATTATAGAAAGGAAATAGAGTAAAAAAACAGAGATTATGAATTCACAGGTCTCATTAAAACATCTCAATTCTCAGAGTTTACAGCATTTAGAACCAAATTCAGGCATTGAGAAATATTATGCTGATTAGGAGATTTCCGTAAATGAACTGACAAGAATTTATATGCCCAGTAGACAGTCAACTCCAACCTTCCCTTGACTGACTCACTACAGTGCCTCTATCTCTTACCTTGTACAGAGTGGTACTTCTCCCAGGTCATGGGGTGAGCTGGACGGTTCCATAAGAATGCATCGTCCTCGCTGAGCTCAAGGTTGATGGCTCTCTGCAGGTCCCCGATCACCTCCTGGTACGTCAGGTTGTATTCGTTGAACACCCCACGCACCTGGACTCAAATCAGATAACACGGGTTAGTGCAGTAAAAATCACACCTAACTTAACACAGCCTGTGGCAACTTAATCTAGCCCAATCTAACAAGGCACCACAGGTTATAAAATAAATTCACTTTCAACCGAATGTAGTTTATTCTGACATAAAGTAGCCAAACCTAACAAAGCACCACAGATTGTAGGAAAACAGCTCTATGCTGTACATTCAACAGCAAGACAGCTAAACATAGCCTAACCTTACAATGCATACAAAGTTATAGGATAAAGTCACACTCAGTCTAGCCTAATGGAGAACATCATTTGGTGGGAAAGTCACAACCCAACCTACAATAACTTTTAATCTTTAGATACATCTTTGTGACTGGGACTTTATTGTGGGACAATATAAAGGCTGTAGTAATTATGAGGGACTTTTAGGTAGGACTGTGTCATTGAAACGTCAGTCAAAGGCTGAGTTTTAAGGGCATTTATCAGATGTGAATATTGTACTTGTGTATGATAGAAACATGTTTTTTTTCCCCTTCAACCTGTGCATACCTTCAGTTTTGCCTTTTTGAATGAGATCGATGCAGATTGAAGTAGAGTTAGTAAATACTTAAGTACTGTATACAACAACCTTCAATTATATGTCATCCATACATGTGTCAGTGTTCATATACAGTACCTATGATTCTCCTTTACCTTCTACCTGTAGTTTGTTTCACTTCTATCTCTAATTTTACTTCACCTTCTACTTGTAGTTTTACCTCACTTTCTACCTGTAGTTTATCACATCTTCTACCTGTAGTTTTACCTCAGTGCTACCAATGTCATCATAGCATAGACTCTAGGCCTTAGAATCCTAGAGCCTCATATTATCTCCCTCAAGTGTGTACAGTATATACGTAGAATATTTCCTCACCTTTTGCTCGGCGTCTGGGGGTGTGAGGAGATCAATCTCGTATTCTGGGTTTTTCTTGCGTAGTGACCATAAGTCAATACCGTCCGAATTATCGAGAGAATCCACGACGGGTAAGTCGACCAGACCCACGTCGGTGCGGAACAGTTTATACCCAGAGTAAGACACTGGCTTGGGCACCTGTAAGCTGCGGATCTCCTCCGGAGTGAGGGAAGGCAGTCCACACGACGTCCCTAACAGCACCATTACTACCACCAGTAACTGCCATGTTTCTATCATGATGGACTCACAGTTCCTCAGGGGCAGTAGAGGGTTTGTTTATAAGTCTGATATTTTTTAAACTGTTGTATTTATCAGATGTTTATTATTGTTTGCAGCAACTGTAGACAGGGTGTTTGTATCTTTGTAGGGATGAGGGGTTAATAACAGAAATATTAATGGTCCAAGTTTAGGGTAGGAGGACCAGGGGAAGACAAAGACTGGGATGGATGATTGAAATTAAAAACCGGGTCCCCAGAGAGACATAAAGCCTAAGAGGATTGGTATAAAACAGCCCGGGAACGTTTAGAGTAGAGGACTGTGGTCGCCAACCCTGACTGACCAAGTGTTAACGGGTGTGTTTGTAATTGTGTTTAGAACATGATATTTTCGTCGGGTTTGGCATGTATAATAATAGCCAGCGATTTTCAGTATAAGTAAAGTAGATAAAACTCTTTAAAATGGTGTACTGAATGACTTTACAAGGCACCAGGAGACTCTACTAGTGAGTGACACCTGCAACTGTTCCTCACGCTATAATGTCCAGTGATGAAGCTCGAGTTTTTATATGTACAAGCTGTCAGAGGGTTGTGCATTCACATAACGGAAATGCCGGAAGTGAAGTTCATTATTCTCCCCTATCTCCCTCCCTCCCTACTCCCCCGGTAGTAGCCTTGCATCAGGAAGGTCAAGGTAGCCTAAGGTTACATAGCTGCATATGGGGACCGGCAGTAACCTCAAACTCAAAGCAGCGTGACCCAACCTCGTGATGACCGTGCACAAACCACACCTCACCTGTCACCTACCTCCCCCCCCCCTTCACCCTCCCACAACTTCCGATAAGTGATGTCCGACTTCGTCTTTTTTTGTAGGAAAAAGAGAGACGATTTCTATTATATAAGAGTCGATCAGGAACTTAAATTAATCTACTAAATTTCACCTTTCAATCACAGAGGAAAGAAATATAACAGAGATCATTACCAGTACAGTTTTATACATACATTATACAGTATCTTCCACGTGATGGCTGTGTCTATATGTAATGCTTTAACCAAAATATATCTTTAACTCGAACACGCTGGGTAGCTTCAAATATAGGGTGGACGGTTACATGAGCGATAGGGGTTGGGTGTAAACGGGACAGCCTAGTATGGGCCAATAGGCCCTCTGCAGTTTCCTCCATTCTTATGTTCTTACGTGTTATATATATTGAAACTTATGGATCACTAGAAGAATTTCCACCTTAGCTTATTTCACCTAAAGGTTAACCACCCTAACCTAACATCCCCCCAGATAATATTAAGATGGCTAATCTTCAGGTGAAATAGGCTGGGGTAGAGATTTTTCAGGTGATCCAAACTTATATACTGTGTTGTGGTCTGTTCGGCCTAAATTTCTTTATTATTACATTTACACAAAGTCTATAGGAGAAAGGTGAACGTTGTCTTTATCCATACTGGGATAAAAAAATGTGTTTAGCGGTAATGCATATCCTGGTAAGCCAACACCAGGGCTGAGGCTGCAGTGTTTACCTTCGCTCAGGGCTACACCATAACTCTCACCAACACGACGTCATTCATTACACTGTTAGCCATTGTTCAAACTCCATACTGTTATCCTTATCATGTGTTTTGGTGATTATACGAATGAAATGCATAATACCGTATACTGTATATACTGGTGAACAAACATTAAGGGCAAGGATTTGTTGTTATGATGGTAATATTGTGCTTCAACAACTAAGGTCTTTAAACGCATAACAAGGTTAGTAATATTTTTTCTATTGCATCAACAATTAAAATTATGAGAGATAAAGCTGTGTATAAAAATAAGGATTATGGGATTACAATTTACATAAAGACAAAGCGGTCACTTAAGCGTTATTAACAGTTTTATTTTATAAGGGTTTACGATTTATATAATAGTAATATTAAAGCTTTCATGTTCTTGTCATTGTCAGTTATTTTATTTGTGGGGTTTTAAACATTTTTATATATTTGAGTAAAATTCCCTTCAGGGGTTTGGCGTTTGTGTATTTCAGATGACTTGCTATTAAGTCACACACCCCCAAAAAATATTAATGCAAAGTAACGCCAAAATGAAAGTGAGACGAACTTAAATCGATACATTCACTTAACTAATTAGAACAACATTAATACAGACTTTTAGAGAGACTTGTGGAAGTTATTTAGTAACAGTTTCCAGGGGCAAAATTGTACTCAGACGTTTTTGTAGAGTAAAAAGTAATTACCGTTGACCTCAGAATATCTCCAAATATTAAGTGCACATGACTTCAAGATGCCCATGATATTGGTCAGATTTTAAAATAATTCCGGGGACTTACAGCCTCCCCCCCCCCCTAAAGCTGGGTGGGCTCGCTGTGCTCGCAATGTTACACCACCCACAAACAACTACTTGGATCCGCCCCTGATTTCATTGTGATTATGACCTTTTTCTCGTTATTTTTGTGCTTTAGTTTAAGTCTCGCAGATATGTTCATTCTTTCATCTTCACTTATGAGAAACGTAAGATGGACTACTGCAATTAGTAAACTTGTTGGCGCTCAAAGACCTCAGTGGCTGAAGGGCAGTAAAATACTAACGTAAATATATCAAGGAGAAAATGACCCCAAGTTCCTGTTTTTAGTTCGATATCTTGGATACCGTTTTCTGTAAATTATTGTAAACTCTCCCCAAAATTTTCGGTCACTTTCTCATCGATACAATGTGTCACAATGGACGAATATTTCCGATCACTGATTGTGATTCCTGCATTGTGTTGGTAGGCCTGCCTTCCTAGTATCTGTGAGGTTGTCAGTTATTATTTCTGGCATTTTTTTAATTATGATGAATCACTGTGCTCCATCTTTAGTAGAATAATACAGTATAATGATATTGATGTAGCGAAAATATATCAACGGCAGTCAAATAGTAGGTGTTTTCTGCTGGAAATCCATGACCAACACTAGTATCCGAGACTCATTGGAAAACAGCTTGCACCGACAGACATCGTCTCGTAGTGCGTCAGATAATGTTTCGTTACCAGTACGAATCATGAGATGATACTTCATAATTGTTGCCTCATTAATTGAGGTAGAAATTATATCGAAATGCAGTAAATCATGTCATTGTAACTTATATTCCTATTTGGCAACCCATCCCCTGAGGCTGAAATAGTATCTAAGGTATTGTAGTGGATTTCTCCCCTACAAACGCTGTTTGTCGCTGAGTAGCCGACCCCGTGAATTCCCCAGTGTATGCCTCGTGGTCTGGGTCAACCAGCGCCGCCATACATCACGGAGGTCAACTACAAAGCCAAGCCTCCCCCCGCTATTTAAGACCTGACCTCGTGGTGACCTCTCTCTTCTTCTAGCTACAGCCGCAGCAAGCTACACCTCCTCCTCCGCCGCTGCCTGGCGGCCCTCGCTCCCGCCGGCGAGCATGGCGACCCACAAGCTGTCTTCCTCTGAGCATCCTCACCAACCAGCTCTCTCTACATCACGCTTGTAACCACGCTGCCACTTCCCAGCACCAAGCTGCATTGTACATCCAATACAACATGTATACAGAGAGCACATTGTGAGTTTCCTTTCTCCATCCCATCCTGAGTGTGAACCCAAACACCCATAACCCCACAAATGGTGACTCCCGGAGATTCGCACTCACACAGGATGGAGGAGAAACAGATCACGCTCCCAGTCTTCAAGCAACATGGAAGACTGGCTTATCCACCCAGAAGCAGCTCTCATCGGCTCTACAGCTACTGTCTCTAAACCGCAGGTTAGACACCCTAGAGCAGCACTACTTCTCTAAGCAGACACCAGCTCCTCTTCCTGCCCCAAGCACCACGTCCTACCGACCCCAGCACACCCGTCCTGCCTCAGACGCCGACCCCGGCCCAGCAGTACCCCCCTGCTACTGTCCTGCACCCAGCTGCTGTCGTGGACCCAGCTGCTGTCACCAGCCCTCATCCGCTTCTGCTGACGCAGCCCCTGCTCCTGACCCAGGCCCACACACCCCAGCAGGCGCATCTGAGGACTCTGTACCTGTCGCGAGGAAAACACAAAATTCATCACCTCCACAACCCTCTTTCTCCCTCTCTTCTCCCACAGATCTTGTGTGTCAAGACAGTTGCCTCCACTAGCTGCCGGCTCATCCACGCCATCGCCGTTATGGCTCACATGTGGCATGCACCGCCCATTCTGCCTTACATGTGCCATGCAACCCTGCAGACAACAAGTCTCCTACACCGCCTGGAGGGAAGGGGGAGTATTGTAGTGGATTTCTCCCATACAAACGCTGTTTGTCGCTGAGTAGCCGACCCCGCGAATTCCCCAGTGTATGCCTCGTGGTCTGGGTCAACCAGCGCCGCCATACATCACGGAGGTCAACTACTAAGCCACGCCTACCCCCGCTATTTAAGACCTGACCTCGTGGTGACCTCTCTCTTCTTCTAGCTACAGCCGCAGCAAGCTACACCACCTCCTCCGCCGCTGCCTGGCGGCCCTCGCTCCCGCCGGCGAGCATGGCGACCCACAAGCTGTCCTCCTCTGAGCATCCTCACCAACCAGCTCTCTCTACATCATGCTTGTAACCATGCTGCCACTTCCCAGCACCAAGCTGCATTATACATCCAATACAACATGTATACAGAGAGCACATTGTGAGTTTCCTTTCTCCATCCATCCTGAGTGTGAACCCAAACATAAGAACATAAGAAAATAAGGAGTCTGCAATAGGCCGGATTTGGCCTGTGCATAGCAGCTCCTGTCGAGAGTTACTACCACTCTCTATCATCCATGAATCTATCTAGCCTCCTTTTGAAACTTTCCAGAGTTCCCGCACTTACTACAAAGTTGCTAAGCTTGTTCCACTCGTCCACCACCCTATTTGTGAACCAGTTTCTTCCTATCTCCCTCCTAAACCTAAACTTATCCAAGTTGAATCCGTTGCTCCGAGTCCTATCCTGCTCGGATATTATAAGAACTTTATCTATATCCCCTTTCTTGATTCCTTTTACCCACTTAAATACTTCTATCATATCTCCCCGCACTCTTCGTCTTTCTAGGGAATGCAAGTTAAGTTTCTTTAACCTATCCTGATATGGAAGGTTTCTAAGTCCCGGAATCATTTTTGTCATTCTTCGCTGTACCGACTCTAGTGAATTTATATCCATTCTATAATTGGGGCACCAGAACTGAACCGCATAATCGAGGTGCGGCCTGACTAGCGCAAGATATAGTTGCAATAAGACCTCTGCACTCTTGTTACTTACACTTCTAGATATAAAACCCAATACTCTGTTTGCCTTATTTCGAACATGAACGCACTGTTTTCTAGGCCGTAGGTCCGGGCTTACAAGTATCCCTAGGTCTTTTTCACAAGTCGACTTCTCTAGGTTGATGTTGTTAAGGCTGTATACATTATAAGTATTTGTTCTTCCAATATTAAGTACGCTGCACTTGCTGGTGTTGAATTTCATTTGCCATTTTTCAGACCACCCTGCAGTTTATTTAGATCCTCCTG